TCACCAGCATGTGTTAGAAGTCATGACACGCTGGCGCTGCGGCTCAATAGGCTAATCCTCCCCCTGCGGTGCCGGCACACCGGGTTCTAGTCCTGGTCAGGGCGTCGGATTCTGTCCCGGTCGCTCCTCTTCCTGTCCAGCTCTCTGCTGTGGCCCAGGAGTGCAGTGGAGGATGGCCCAAGTCCCTGGGCTCTGCACCCACATGGGAGACCAGGGGAAGCACCTGGCTCCTGGCTTCGGATCAGCTCGGTGCTCCAGCTGTAGTGGCCATTGTGGGGGTGAAACAATGGAAAAGGATGACCTTTCTCTCTGTCTCTCTCTCTCACTGTCCACTCTGCCTGTCAAAAAAAAAAAGTCATGACAGTTGATGAACCTTACTCTAGCCTGAGAGGTACTGGATGTTCATAGTAATAGTCACCATTACATCACTGAGTATAGAACAGCAGAGTGTGGTCGCAGAAGTGCTTTGCTATCACAATCCACCATCCTCTACATCTTGTATCACCTGTTGCATTGTGTTCTGATATCTGTAGCATACCACAAGCATCCATATCACAAGCATCCCATACCACAAGCATCCAAATTGCACTTCTTGCCCATCCAGAATCGTCCCTCCAGCTCCCTGTTTACCTTGATTTTTGTCAGGACCAATGGAGGTTTCCTTTGTTCCTTTTTTGATTCCTTCAGCAAGTATGAAGTTCCTCAAAATACTCCTGGAAACCCACTGTCATCAAAAGAAGAGTACGGAACCTAAAGAAAATTTCACCACAATCATGTAAGGTTTTAATAACATTATCTAGTACCTTGTGCACTAGAACATCAGTTTTCTAGCTTTATCTCTCTGCCAGGAGATCTAGAGCATAGGTGAAAATCACTAAAACCATCTTCACAATATTTGAGGTCAGCGGGCAGCCAACACCTAACTATGGACCATGAAGGTGACTCATGGTTTTCACAATTCAATGTTAGCAGCTCCACCTCCACTTCCAGTCTGGAGGGCACATAGACCATGTTATAAGCAAGACACACACTTCCTAGAAGGGTACTGGAAGCTCATCATTCCACATTCCAGTGTCCTTCTTTGTAGAGCAGTGCATACTGTGCGAATTTGTAGGTGCTTTCTTTTGATACTCTATCATCTCCCTACACATTTCGGCTTTCCTCATATAACTAACAGATGTCTGAATTCTAAAATATCTTATTTCTACCTCAAAGGATATGTCAATCCCATTATCATCCAACTTGCATATTTATCTCAAGAAAATCTTCACAACTCTCCTTTCTTTACCTCGATGTTTCAGGACCAATGGACATTTCCTTTTCCCTCTTTTATATTGAATTCAAAAGTTTGGAAAATTATGGAAAATGTTTATAAATAAGTGTGCACTGGGACAGGCTCTGTGGTGTAGCCAGTAAAGCTAACCTGTGCAATGCTGGCATCCCTCATTGGCACCAGTCCATGTTGGCTACCTCACTTCCCATTTCAGCTTCCTGCTAATTGCCTGGAAAAATAGCGGAAGTCAGTCAACTGCTTGTGTCCTTGCTACCCACATGGGAGACCTGGTAGAAGCTCTTTGTTCCTGACGTTGGCCTGCTCCAGCACTGGTCATTGTGACCATCTGGGGAGGGATCCAGAATTTTAAAGATACCTCTCTCACTGTTTTTCCATCTCTGTATCTGTTTTAAATAAATAAGTTTTTTTAGAAAACATATATAACACATCTTTAAGCATCTTTTGCAGGGCTGGATGAGTGGTGACAAATTCTTTCAATTTCTGTTTGCTATGAAAGGTCTTTATTTCACCTTCATTCACAAATGAGAGCTTTGCAGGATATAATATTCTGGGCTGGCAGTTTTTTTTTTTTTCTCTTAGTACTTGGCCTTTATCTCACCATTCCCTCCTAGCCTGTAGGGTTTCTGATGAGATGCCTGCTGTGAGTCTCATTGGAGATCCTCTGAGAGTAATCTGACATTTCTCTCTTGTGCATTTTAGAATCTTTTCTTTATGTTTCACTGTGGTGAGTTTGATAACAATGTGTCGTGGTAGGGTCTCTTTTGGTTATGTTTATTGGGGGTTCTATGTGCTTCCTGTACCTGGATGTCTCTTTCATTCTCCAAACCCAAGAAGTTTTCTGCTAGTATCTCACTAAAAAGGCCTTCTAATCCTTTATCTCTCTCGATGCCTTCAGGAACTCCTAGATCCCAAATGTTGGCTTTTTTAGTAGTGTCCTGTAGATTCCCAATAATATTTTTTAGATTTCTAATTTCCTCTTCTTGTCTTGTTTTACTATATACTTTCCTGTGCTCTATCTTCTAAGTCCAATATTCTCTCTTCTATCTCACTGATTCTGTTTTTAAGGCTCTCAAATGTGTTTTTTATTTGTTTTACTGAATTCTTAATTTCATTTTGATTTTGTTTCAATATCTCAATTTCATGTTCTACTAAATTCCTCATTTCATTTTGATTCCTCCTTAGCATTTCATTTTCATGAGAGAGATTTTCTGTCCTATCGTGTATGGATTTCTGTAGATCATGCATTTGTTTTTGATAACTTCTAAATGTTCTGATAAATCCAAACATCTATAGCAAACTTATATTTGATCAAGGATCTAAAACCAATTCCTGGAGTAAGAATAGTCTATTCAATAAATGGTGCTGGGAAAACTGGATTTCCACATGCAGAAGCATGAAGCAAGACCCCTATCTTACACCTTACACAAAAATCCACTCAACATGGATTAAATATCTAAATCTACGACCTGACATCATCAAACTATTAGAGAACATCAGAGAAACCCTGCAAGATATAGGCACAGACAAAGACTTCTTGGAAAAAAACCCCGGAGGCACAGGCAGTCAAAGCCAAAATTAACTATTGGGATTGCATCAAATTCAGAAGTTTCTGTATGACAAAAGAAATAGTCAGGAAAGTGAAGAGGCAACCAATACAATGAGAAAAAATATTTGCAAATTATGCAACAGATAAAGGGCTGATAACCAGAATCTACAAAGAGATCAAGAAACTCCACAACATCAAAACAAACAACCCACTCAACCCACTTAAGAGATGGGCCAAGGACCTCAATAGACATTTTTCAAAAGAGGAAATCCAAATGGCCAACAGACACATGAAAAAATGTTCAGGATCACTAGCAATCGGGGAAATGCAAATCAAAACCACAATGAGGTTTCACCTCATCCTGGTTAGAATGGCTCACATTCAGAAATCTACCAACAACAGATGCTGGCGAGGATGTGCGGAAAAGGGACAGTAACCCAGTGTTGGTGGGAATGCAAACTGGTTAAGCCACTATGGAAGTCAGCCTGCATATTCCTCAGAAAACTGAATATAACCCTACCATACAACCCAGCCATCCCACTCCTTGGAATTTACCCAAAGGAAATTAAATTGGCAAATAAAAGAGCTGTCTGCACCCTAATGTTTATTGCAGCTCAATTCACAATAGCTAAGACCTGGAATCAACCTAAATGCCCATCAACGGTAGACTGGATAAAGAAATTATCAGATATGTACTCTACAGAATACTATAGAGCAGTAAAAAAAAATGAAATCTGGTCATCTGCAACAAAATGGAGGAATTTGGAAAGAATCATGCTGAGTGAAATGAGCCAGTCCCAAAGGGACAAATATCATATGTTCTCCCTGATCTGTGACAGCAAACTGAGCACCTAAAAGGAAACCTGTTGAAGTGAAATGGACACTATGAGGAACAATTTGTTGAGCAGCCCTTGTCCTGAGTGTCCAGGAACAACTTACTATTTTATTCCTTTTAGTATTTTTTTGTTCTACTTAATACCATTGGTTGAACTCTGTAATTAACACACAATTATTCTTAGGTGTTTAAATTTTAACTGAAAAGTGATCCCTGTTAAATGTAAGAGTGGAAATAAGAGAGGGAAGTTATGTACAGTTTGGCACATGCTCACTCGGACTTACCCCTTATGATAGAGCTAGAAAAGTGCCAGGGGATTCCAATTCAATCCCATCAAGGTGGCACATACTAATGCCATGTTACTTGTTAAAGTGATCAGTTTAAGTCCATAACTGACTAAAAAGATAGGGTTAAATGTCAAAGGGATTACATAAATAAGACCAGTGTCTGCAAATAATAATTGATAGAATTAAAAAGGAGAGAACAATCCTACATGGGAAGCAGGATACACAGCAGACTCATAGAATGTCAAATGCCCTAAACAGCAGTCTGGCCTCAGAATAAACCCTTAAGGCATTCGTATCTGGTTACAAATCCCTTTCGAGTTTCTCAGGCATGGAAAGCCAAGACACTGTTTGCAAAAAAAAAAAAAAAATGACCTAAATGAAAAATCTCTGTGAGATTCCCAGCGGGAAGAACTGGCCATGAAAGAAAGCAATACCTTTCTCTGAAGGGAGGAGAGAACTTCCACTTTGACTATGACCTTGTCTAAATAAGATCGGAGTTGGTGAACTCAAGATGCTTCCATAGCCTTGGCAGCTCATGACAAGAGCCTCGGGTGATTACTGATGTCATAAATAAGTTTATGAATTGTTAAATCAACAAAGGGAGTCACTGTGTACTTACTCCCCATGTAGGATCTCTGTCCTTAATGTGTTGTACTATGCGAATTAATGGTAAAACTACTACCCAAACAGTACTCTATACTTTGTGTTTCTTTGTGGGTGCACTATGTTGAAATCTTTACTTAGTATATACTAAGTTGATCTTCTGTATATAAAGATAATTGAAAATGAATCATGATGAAGAATGGGCTAGGAAGGCAGTGGGAGATGGGATGGTTGCACGTGGGAAGGAGGTTATGGGGTGTGGAAAGCCACTATAATTCAAAAGTTGCACTTTGTAAATTTATATTTATTAAATAAAAGTTAAAAAATCTAAAAAAATCATATATAAATTATTTCAATTTATTTTATAATCACAAGCTTAATACTCCACCTAATAATTAAAATGGAGCAAGCAGAAAAACCACTGTTACTCAAGAATATAGAAGGGGCTATAAAATAATCAAATCTTATAATATCTATTTCACTCATACATATTACGCTTTTGTACTCTGTATATTAGTTACCACAAATCAGAAAAACATATTTGTGTTTTGAGGACTGGCTTATTTCACTAAGCATAATGGTATCCAGTTACATTTGCTTGTGAAAGACAGGATTTTGTTCTATTTTATGGTTGAGTAGCATTCCATCATGTATATACACCACAATTTCTTTATCTAGTCATCAGTTGATAGACATCTGGGTTGATTCTATATCTTAGCTAATATGAGTTGAGATGCTATAAACATGGGAGTTCAGATAACTCTTTCAGAAGCTGATTTCATTTCCTTTGTGTAATTTCTCAGGAATGGAATGGCTGGGTCTTATTCCAGATCAATTTCCAGATTTCTAAGGAATCTTCATACTGTCTTCCATGATGATTGTACTAGATTACATTCCTACCAAACAGCGTAATAAGGTGCCTTTTTTCCACATTTTTGCTAGCATTTTTTTTGGATGATAGCCATTCTAACTGGGGTGAGGCAACAGAAATGTTATGAAACCTGAATGAAGCATCCTTTTTCAAATACTTTTGCTACCTAAAATTGATACAATTCATACACATACATACATGCTAAAATGTTAATATCTATATCCACAGATTTTAAGCACAAACATTAATGACAGCAATTTCTTACTTAGATGTTATTTCCTAATTAACAAACTATAACACTGTGAAAAGTTCTTATGATCAGAGGAAATTTACAGCCATTATTTCACTGCCTGTTTTAAGGTTTAGAGGTTCCTTCTTTTTGTATATCCAAGGTGTTCTACCATTTTACATTCCTATAAACAGTGAGTTAAGGTAACTTTTTCCCCACATCCTGTTCAGAATTTTTTATTTTTGATTTTTGGATGACAGCCATTCTAACTGGTGTGAAGTGAAACCTCATCGTGATTCATTTCCATTTCTCTGATGGTTAGTGATCCTGAGCATCTTTCCATGTGTCTGTTGGTCATTTGCACTTCATCCATTGAAAAATGCTTATTTATATCCTTAGCTCATTTCTTAACTAGATTATTTGTTTTGCTGATGTTGAGCTTCTCGTGCTCCTTATGTATCCTGGATATGAATCCTTTATCAGGTGTATAGCTTGCAAATATTTTCTCCCATTCTGTTGGCTGCCTCTTTGTTGAGAGTTGTGTGGAAGCTTCTTAGCTTGATGTAACTGAATTCTGAATTTCTTTATGCCTACCTCAGAGGGGATGCCAATTCCATGACATCCCAATTTGCATTTCTACCTTAGGGATAGATACACAAGCTAATCCTACTTTAGTGAGACTCTTTGCAGCTTTCTTCCTTTACCTTAATGATTATCAGGACCAATAGAGATTCTTTTGTTCCTCTTTTCTATATAGACAGCAAGTTGGAAATGTATGCCAAAAGTTCAGACAGAAAATGTGCATCATGAAATGTATAGATTTCATAACTTTTGCCCTATAATATACTTGTGTTTTCATTCCATTGTTGCAGTAACTGTAAAGATCCCAGTATCCCTGTCCTCTCTAACTCTCTCTCTAACTGATACGCAATCAAGGACATTAGAAACAAACCACTGACATCATCCTGACAATATGTGAGGTCATGGTGGCCACAAAGGCCTTCTTGGGTACAATGAAGGGAGCTCAAGATGCTGCTATTCAAAAGGGCCTTCAGCACTAGTACAGCATCAGTTAAAATTCATGAGAATTGGTATGCTTTGTGAGCCTTACTCTACCCACAGAAGTTCTGGATGCTCAGAGTCACAAACCAGTACCTCTCTAATTAGGGCACTGCAAACAGCATGAATGTGGAGGTGCTGTTCCACCAGCCTCCTCCATCCCCATGGCTTTCATCATTCCTTGTATTACACACGGATTAATGAACCCCAACCCTCTTTACACCTACCTCATAGGGTATGCCAATCCCATAACCATTCAACTTGCATTTCAACTTCAGGGAGAATCTTCCTACCTGCTCTTTCTTTACTTTCATCCTTATCAGGATCAGTGGAGATTTCCCTTAATCCTTTTTTTCTGTTCTATCAGCAAGTTGGAGAGTACTGCAAAAAGCTCAAAAAGCAATGGTACCATGAAATGTATGATTTTCTAGTATTTTTCACCACAATATAGTTGTGCTTTCATTAGATTTCTCCAGTAACTTTTTTAAAAATTAAATTTATAAAATATGAAATTTAATATATACAGATTTAAGAGCATAATGATACTTCCCAGCCTACACTAACCTCTCACCCACATTCCCACCCTCCATCCTCCTTCCTTTCTTATTTTTTTTTAAAGTTTTTACAATGACATACTTTCAGTTTATTTTATAATCACAAGCTTAATCCCACACTAAAGAAAGAATTCAATAAGCAGTAAGTAGAAAAAGCACTGTTCTTCAAGAGTACAGACATGGGCTGTAAACAATAATCACATCTCAAAATGTCAATTTAATGCATATACACTACATTTTTTGTTCTCTGTATATTAATTACAACAAGTCAGGGGAAACACGTTTTATTTGTCTTTTTGTAACTGGCTTATTTACCATTTTGCTCAGTGAAATAAGCAAGTCCTCCAGTAACATTTAATGGAACCACTATTCCTATCTTTTCTAACTTTATCACTGTAATTGGTTATGTGTCCAAGCTATTAGGAGCAAACCACCGAAATCATCCTGAAGATACATGAAGTCAGGTGAGCCACAAAACCTGAGTACAAAAAGGGCAACTAAAGACTCTGTCATTCCAAAGGGGCAGCCATTCTAGTACCCGTCTAGAAGTCACAACACTTAGGGACCTTGATGAGACTTAACTCTACTCAGCGAGGTCCTGGATACTCATGACAACCACCAGTGCCTCTCTCAGTAGGCCATGACATACAGCATGAATGTGGAATTGCTGTCTCATGAGGTGCTACCATCCACTATAGCTTTCATCACCTCACATATTATAGCCTGATGGCTCAATCTTGAACTTCTCTACTCCTTCCTCCTATGTCATACCAATCCGATGGCCTTCCAAGGGGGCATTTCTAAAAACTATGTGAGTTCTGCTCACATACACTTTCTTTAAGGTGATGATTGCGAGGATCAATAGAGATTTTCTTGGTTCCTCTTCTACAGTTTTTTAGAAACTTGGAAAATTCAGTGAAAAGCTTAAAAAAAGCGTATATTGAAATGTATGCATTTCAAAAATTTATGCATTTCGCTGGCACCGCAGCTCACTTGGCTAATCCTCCACCTGCAGCACTGGCACACCGGGTTCTAGTCCCGAATGGGGCACCGGATTCTGTCCCAGTTGCTCCTCTTCCAGTCCAGCTCTCTGCTGTGGCCTGGGAGTGGAGGATGGCCCGAGTGCTTGGGCCCTGCACCCGCATGGGAGACCAGGAAGAAGCACCTGGCTCCTGGCTTCGGATCGGCGCAGCGCGCCATCCGTAGTGGCCATTTGGGGGGTGAACCAACAGAAAAGGAAGACCTTTCTGTCTGTCTCTCTCTCTCTCTCTAACTCTGTCTGTACAAAAAAAAAATTATGCATTTCAAAAATACTACACCATAGTATTTTTGTGTTTTCATTCCCTTCCTCTAGTAACTGTTTAAGACACTCAATATCCTTATCTTCTCTAATTTTCTCTCTCTAAATGGAATGGTATGTTTTTTAATTCCTACCTCATAGTTTATGTCCATTATGTAGCCTCTCAATTGGCATTTGTAATTCAAGGAGAATCTTCTGACTTGCTCTTTGTTTACCTTGATATTTGTCAGGGGCAATGCAGATTTCCTTTGTTCCTCTTTCCTATTCTATCAGCAAGTTAGAAAGTTCTGCAAAAAAGCTCATGGGAAGGCTACTTCTAGAAAAGTAAGTATGTATTTCAAAAATTATTCACACCAACATGATCAAGGGTATTAATTCCAACTCTCCAGTAACTTTTAAAACTACATTATATCTGTATCTTTTCTAACTTTTTCTTCCAGCTGGTATGAGATAAAGGTATTAGAACAAACCACTTACATCTTTTGGAAAATTACTGAGGTGTAGATGGCTGCCAAGGCCTTGTGGACCGTGAAGGCAACTCAAGGTTCACGCAATTTAAAGTGAACAGTTCTGGCCGGTGCTGCAGCTCACTTGGCTAATCCTCCACCTGCAGCGCCGGCAGCCTGGGGTTCTAGTCCCAGTTTGGGCGCTGGATTCTGTCCCGGCTGCCCCTCTTCCAGTCCAGCTCTCTGCTATGGCCCGGGAGTGCAGTGGAGGACAGCCCAAGTGCTTGTGCCCTGCACCTGCATGGGAGACCAGGAGGAAGCACCTGGCTTCTGGCTTCGGATCGGCGTAGCTCCGACTGTGGCAGCCATTTGGGGGGTGAACCAACGGAAAAGGAAGACTTTTTTCTCTCTCTCTCTCTCTCTCTCACTGTTTAAATCTGCCTGTCAAAAATAAATAAATAAATAAAGTGAACAGTTCCACTCCCACCACCAGTGCAGAGGTCACCAGTGATGATGTACTTGGTGAGCCTTACTCTACCCAGAGAGGTCCTGGATGCTCAGAGGTTCACATTCCAGTCCCGCTCTGAGTAGGGCACTGCACACATCACGAATGTCAAGCTGTTGGCCCATCAGGCTCCACCATCCCCTACAGTTTCCTCACTCCTTACATTATACACTGATAACTGAACCCTTATCTTTATGCCTACCTTATAGGGGATGCCAATCCCATGACCATCCGGCTTCATTTCGAACTGAAGAATCTTCGCAACTGCTCTTTTTCACCTTCATGGTTGTCAGGACCAATGGAGATTTCTTCTATTCCTCTTTTCTGCTCTATCTGCAAGTTGGAAATTTCTGTAAAGACTTCAGGAAAAAAGTGTGTGTCATGAAATGTATCCATTTCAAATATCTTAGCAACATAATTTATTTATATTTTCATTCAGTTTCTCCAGTAGCTTGTCAAAACACCCAGTATCCCTGTCCTCTATAACTGTATTCCTCATCCTGGTATGTGTTTAAAACTGTTAAAACAAAATACTGAAATCAACCTGACTCTATATAAAGTCACTGTAGAACGCAACGGCACTATTGGTACAAAGAAGGCACCTCAATATGCTTGTATTTCAAAAGGATCAGCTCAACTCCAATCCAGAGTTCTTGGCAGTTACTGTCCTTGGTGAGCCTTACTCTACCCAGAGTGGTAGTAGATGCACTTAATTATAGTCAACGATTTCTCTCTTAGCAGTATAGTGCACAGAGCCTGAATGTAGAGGTGTTACACAATCAGGTTCCATCATCCCCTATAGCTCTCATCACTGTATCCATTATAGCCTGATATCTGAACCCTGAATTTCTCGATTCCTGCCTCCCTTGCTATGCCAAGCTGGTGGACCTCCAATGTACTTTTTTACCTGAGAATCTTCTCACCTGCACTTTGTTTAAACTGATGATTGTGAAGACCAAGGTGAATATATTTGTCTGCCTTTCCATTGTGTTGGAAATTTGGAGGGTTCTGCAAGACGTCAGAAATAATGTACATGTCAAAAATTATTTGCATACTGATAACCTGTGATTTTATTCCATTTCTAATGTAACTTTGAAAGTATACTCTAACTTACATTTTCCAACATTTTCTCTCTAACTTGTGTGTTTTAAAGGTATTAGGAAGAAACCATTAAAAACATATTGACAGTATTGGGGTCACAGTGGCCACCAACAGCACCTTGCATACAAAGAATATAGCTCAAGCATTTGGCATACCAAAGGACCTGAAGCACCAGGATAGCATCCGTGTGGAGGACATGATTACTAGTGTACTTGATGAGGACTACCCTATAGAGAACGTTACTAGATATTCACAGATTCACAAATAATTGCCTCTCTGCATAGAGCAGTATATGCAATATGAAATCTGAGGTGCTGTCCCATCAGGCACCACCATCTCCTACAGCTTTCTTCACTCCTGGAATTACAGCCTGACATCTGAACCCTGAGTTTCTTTAATCCTATATCATAGGCAATGTCAATCCTGTGGCCTTCCAATGCGCATTTCTACATTAGGGAGAATCTTCCCACCTGCTATTTTTTACTCTTGATGTTTCCAGGACCAATGGAGAATTCCTTTGATTCTGTTCTCTATTCTATCATAAAGCTTCAAAGTTCTGCATTAAGCTCCTGGAAAGGGCATATCATGATAAGTAAAGTATACATTTCAAAATTTTTTTCACAACATAGTGATCTTTGATATTAATTTCATTTCTTGAGTAACTTTTGAAACTGTCCTGTATCTCAATCTTCTCTAACTTTATCTCTCTAACTTCTATGAGATCAAAGTATTAAAACCTAACCACTAAAATCACTCTGAAAATACCTGAGGCCCAAGTGGCATCCATTATTGTGGAATATGAAGGCAACATGCGGTACAACCAGTCTTCAGGTCACCATAGGTGGTATACTTAGTAACCCTGACTATACCCAGAGAGGTCCTGGATGTTCATATATTAAAACAACAGTGTTAGGCCGGCGCCGCGGCTCACTAGGCTAATCCTCCGCCTTGCGGCGCCGGCACACCGGGTTCTAGTCCCGGTCGGGGCGCCGGATTCTGTCCCGGTTGCCCCTTTTCCAGGCCAGCTCTCTGCTGTGGCCAGGGAGTGCAGTGGAGGATGGCCCAAGTCCTTGGGCTCTGCACCCCATGGGAGACCAGGAGAAGCACCTGGCTCCTGCCATCGGATCAGCGCGGTGCGCCGGCCGCGACGGCCATTGGAGGGTGAACCAACGGCAAAGGAAGACCTTTCTCTCTGTCTCTCTCTCTCACTGTCCACTCTGCCTGTCTAAAAAAAAAAAAAAAAAAAAAAAAAAAAAAAAAAAACAGTGCCTCTGTGAGGAGGGCACTGCGAACAGCACAAATGTGAAGGTGCTATCACATCAAGCTTCACCAGTCCCTAGAGCCTTCACCACTGCTCGCATTACAGACTATGAATACTGAACTCCTTTGTGCCTCATCATAGGATATGCCAATTCCATGACCATCCAACTTGCATTTCCACATGAAAATCTTCTTACCTGAACTTTCTTTAATCTGATGATTGTTGGGAACAAGGGAAACTTCCTTTGTTCCTTTTTCCCAGTGTATTATAAAGTTGGCAAATTTGAGAAAAAGTTAAGAAACAAAATTTGTATCATGAACTGTATTGATTTCAAACATTTCTGCATCATAATAAACTTATATTTTCAGTGAATTCCTCCAGTGACTTTTAAGGTGCCTGCTATCCCTATCAGCTGTAACTTTATCTCCTTAGCTAATATGGTAAGCTTCCTATTCCTACATCATAAGGGATGCCTCACAATGATCTTCCATGTTTAATTTCTATCTCAAGGGAGATTTTTCCACTTGCTCTTTGTTTACCTTGATGTCTGTCAGGACAAATGGCAATTTCCTTTCTTCCTCTTTTCTATAAATAAGTTTGAAAGTTCTTAAAAAGAGCTCATGGAAAGGGCACTCTTGAAAAGTAAAGTATGAATTTCAAAAATTATTCAAATCACCATAATCATGGCTTTTAATTCCAGTTCCCAAGAACATTTAAAAATACTGTGTATCCCGACTGTCTCTAACGTTACCTCTCTACCTGATAGCAGATCTAGTTATTTGGAACAAACCTCTAAAACCTTTCTGACAACAACTGAGTTCCAAGTGACTGTCAGGCTAATTTTGCGGACTATGAAACAGCTTAAGAGTCTCACAGTTCAAAGTGCCAGGGATTCCACTCCCTCTCCATGCAGGAGACCACCACAAATGGTGTACTCGGTGAGCCTTGCTCTACCCAGAAAGGACCTGGATGTTTGTAATTCCACATGCCAGTGCCTCTCTGAGTAGGTCACTGCACACAGCTAACGCGTGGAGGTACTGGCAGATCAGGCTCCCCCATACTACAGCTTTCCTTATTCCTCATATTACACACTGATGACTACAACCTGATCTTTATTCCTATTGCACAGGGGATGCCAATCCCGTGACCATCCATCCAGCTTGTACTTCAAATTCAGGGAGAGTGTTCCTGTCTGTTCTTGATTTACCTTCGTGACTGTCAGGACCAATGGAGATTTCTTTTGTTTTTCTTTTCTATTCTAACAGTAAGTATAAAAGTTCTTCAGAAAGCTCATGAAAGGGCATTTTGTCAAAAGGCAAGCATAGATTTCAACAATTTTCACACCACCATAATCAGATTGTTAATTCCAATTTTCCAGTAACTTTTAAAGCTAGCCTGATTCCCTGCCTTCTCTGACTATCTTCTATCAGGTATGAGATAAAGGTATTAGGAAAAAAAATCACTATATATTTCATAAGATAACTGAGGTCATAGGGGCTGCCATGGCAATTTTGCAGACCATAAAAGCAGCTCAAGATTCATGCAATTTAAACTGAACATTTGCACTCCCACCACCAGTACAGAGGTCACCAGTGATGATGTACTTGGTGAGCCTTGCTCTACCCAGAGAGGTCCTGGATGCTCAGAGGTTCACATTCCAGTCCCGCTCTGAGTAGGGCACTGCACACATCACGAATGTCAAGCTGCTGGCCCATCAGGCTCCACCATCCCCTACAGTTTCCTCACTCCTCACATTATACACTGATAACTGAACCCTTATCTTTATGCCTACCTTATAGGGGATGCCAATCCCATGACCATCCGGCTTCATTTCGAACTGAAGAATCTTCGCAACTGCTCTTTTTCACCTTCATGGTTGTCAGGACCAATGGAGATTTCTTCTATTCCTCTTTTCTGCTCTATCTGCAAGTTGGAAATTTCTGTAAAGACTTCAGGAAAAAAGTGTGTCTCATGAAATGTATCCATTTCAAATATTTTGGCAACATAATATAGTTGTTCTTTCATTCCATTCCTCCAGTAGCTTTTCAAAGTACCCAGTATTCCTATCCTCCCAACCTTATCTCTCAGCCTGGTGTGTTTTCAAAGCTACTGGGAACAAACCACTGAAATCATCCTGACAACATATGAGGTTACGGTGCAGTGTAAAGGACTTACTGGTACAAAGAAAGCACCTCAATATGCCTGCATTCCAAAGGACCTGCCACATAGCCTAGCATCAGTCTTCAGTTCACGACAGTTGGTGTCCCTGGTGAGCCTTAGCCTACCCAGAGGGATACATCAGTTCCTCTCCAAGTAGCATACTACACCCAGTAGCAACGTGGAGATATTACACTGTTAGCACCCAACACCTACAGCTTTCATCACTCCATGCATTGAAGTCTGATGTCTGATCCATGAAATTTTGTATTCCTACCTCCTATGCTGTGCCAATCCAGTGACCCTACAACATGCATTTCTATTTTAGTTTTTAAATTTTTTTTTAAAAAAAGTTATAGAGAAGGAGAGACCGAGAGAGAGAGAGAGGCATTTTTAACTAAGTGAGAATCTGTTCAACTGCACTTTGTTTAACCTGATGATTGTCAGGATCAAGGAACATTTCCTTTGCTGCTCTTTTCTGTTCTGTTAGCAAGTTGGAGAGTACTGCGAAAGTTCAGAAAAAAATGTGGATTATGAAATGTACGCAAATCAAACATTTTGGTACCACAATATATTTCTTTTGACATTCCATTCCTCCAGCCAAGTGTAAAGTACCCAGTATCCCTCTCCTCTCTAAATGTATCTAACTAATACAATAACTTTTCTTTTTCCTACCTCATAGGACATGCCCATCCGATATCCCTCCAACTTGATTTTTACTTCCGTGAGGTTCTACCTACCTGCTCTTTGTGTCGCTTGATGGCTGTCAGGACCAAGGGAGATTTAATTTGTTTCTCTTTTCTATTCTATTACAAAGTGATTAGGTATACAACAAACTCATGGAATAGGCATATCATCAAAAAAGTATGTGGGTTAGTAGTATGAATTAGCAGGTTAAGCTGCCACTGGCAACACAAACATCCAATCTGACAATTGGTTCAAGTGCCATCTGCTGTACTTCTGATCTACACCCTTGCTAATCAACATGGGAAATCAGGCAAAAAGGCCTAAGTACTTGGACTCCTGCCCCCGTGAGGGAGAAATGTATCAAGTTCCAGGTCCCAAGGCTTTGGCCTGGCCTAGCCCCAGTCATTGCAACAATCTTGAGAATAAAATAGCAGATGAAAGTGTTTCTCTCTCTCTCACTGTGTGCATGTGGGTAAACCTTGACTTTTCAAATAGATATCTTTTTTTAAAAAGGATGGATTTTAAAAATGTTTTTTACCACAATGAACTCCTGTTTTGATCTCTGTTCTCAAGTACCTTTTTAAAGTATCCCGAATCTATGTTTCCCTCTGTAACTGGAAGGTGTTTACGGTTATTAGGAAGAAACCACGGAAACATCCTGATAATGTAAGACGTCCAGAGTGCTGCTGAGACCTTCAAGAGTACAAAGAAGGCAGCTCCAGATGCCGGCAGTTCAAATACCCTGTAGCTCCAAGTACACAGATGGTGTACTTGCTGATGCTTATTCTACTTTAGAGGTACTGGCTGCTCATAGTAACAGTCACCAGTTCCTCCCTGAGTAGGGCAATACGCACAGCATAAATGTTGAGGTGCTTTCCCATAAGGTTCCACCAACCCCACAGCTTTCATCACTCCATCCATTCTGGCTTGATGTCTGTGCTCTGAAATTCTTTATTCCTATGTCATAGGGGATGCCAACCCCACAGCTCTCCAACTTGCATTTCTACCTCAGTGAGGATCTTCCCACTTGTTCCTTGATTCCCTTGATGACTGTCAGGACCAAGGAAGACTTCCTTTATTTCTCTTTTCTATTTGATTAGAAAGTTTGAAAGTTCTACAAAAAGTTCAGAAAAAGTGCATTTCATGAAAAATACAGAGTTGAAAAACGTTTGCACCGCAATCTTACTCTATGCAGAAAGATACTGCCTGATAATAGTGACAGTCACCAGTGCCTGAGAATGGCACTGCACAGAACACAAATGTCAAGGTGCTGTCCCATTAGGTATCCCCTATCTTATGTAACATTATCTCTAACTATTAAGTGTTTAAGGTATTAGGAGCAATCCACAATACGAGCTCCAGGTGGCCACGAAGGACTTAGTGATTACAAGGAAGGCAGCTGAAAATTCCGCAGCAGCACTGCAGCACCAGTCCGGAGGTCACCAGGCATAGCATAATTGGTGAGCCTACTCTACCCAGAGAGGTGCTGGACAGTGAAGTCACCAGTGCCTCCGTGAGTGGGACAGCACAAATCATTAATGTGGAAGCGCTTCCTATGAAGCTCCACCATCTCCTACAGCTTTCATCATTCCACACATTGAAACTCATGGAATAAGAGCATCATGAAAAGTATGGTTTCAAACATTTTTTGCACAATACTTTGTGCTTTAATTCCATTTCTCCAGTAACTTCTTAACATACCCTGTATCCCTATCTCCTCTATGCTTATCTAACTGGTATGTATTCAAGGTATCAGGATCAAATAACTGAAATCATCCTGGCAATATCTGTTGTCCAGGTGGCTGTCAAGGACTTACTGAGTACAAAGATTGTAGTTCAAGATACTGACAGTTCAAAGAGTCAGCAGGTCTGTCCCATCACTGGTCTGGATGTCACCAGAGATAGTGTACTCTGTGAACCTTATTCTACACAGAGGTACAGGATGTCCTTACTCTCAGCCACCAGTGTCTCTCTAAGCAGGGCACTGCACACAACCTGCATGCCAATCTGCAGGCTCATCAGGATCCACCATTCCCCCACAGCCTTCATCACTCCAAGCATTACAGCCTAATGCCTTGAGACCTGATTTCCTTATTCCGACCACGTACGAGATTCCAATCCCATGACTTTCTAACTTACATTTTTACCTGCATTTCCACCAGCTCTTTGTTTACTCTGATGATTGTCAGGACCAATGGGGATTTACTTTGTTCCTTTTTTCTACCATATTACAATGTTTGAAGGGTCTGAAAAAAGCTCATGGAAAATGTTTCACATGAAAAGTACGGATTTCAAAAATTTTTTGCACCACAATAACCTTCTGTTTTAATTCCATTTCTCCAGGGCATTTTTAATGAACCCTGTATCCCGATCTTCTCTGTTTATCTCTAACTGACATGACTTCAAGGTATTAGGAACCACAGAAATTATCCTGACAACACTGTAGATTCAGGTAGCCGCTAAGGCCTTCTTTGGTACACAGAAGGTACCTCAGGTTTCTGAAGTTCGAAGTGTCAGCAGCTCCGCCCCCATCACCAGCATGGAGGTCACCACAGCTGGTTTACTTGGTGAGCCTTACTTTCTCCAAAGTGGTACTAGAAGTAGCTAGATTCACACACTGGTGCCTCCCTGAGTAGGGCACTGCATGCTGTATAAATGTGGAGATGCTGTCCCATCAGGCCCCACCATCCCTTACAACCTTCAACATTCCACGCATTACAGATGAATGACTGAACCCTGAACTTCTTTATTCCTACCTCCTAGGGGAGTCCTGGCCCTTCCAACTTGCATTTCTACCTCAGTGAAGAGCTTCTCACCTGCTCTTTCTTTACTTTGATGATTGTCAGTACCAAGGGTGATTTACTTTGTTCCTGTGTTCTATTCTATTAGAAATTTTGAAGGGTCTGCAAAAACTTCATAAAAACGCATATTATGAAAATAAAAGTATGGATTTCAAAAATGTTTGCACCACAATAAACTTGTTTTATTCTGTTTCTCCAGTAACATTTTAATATATCCTGAATCTCTTCTATCTGACATGCATTCAGTGAATTAGGAATGACCCACTGGAATCATCCTGGCAATATCTGAGGTCCAGGTGGCTGTCAAGGCCTTACTGGATACTCTATCTGATGACATTTTAATGTTCCTGCAGCTGTGCTGCCATCACCCGTCTGAAAGTCCTGACACCTGGTGTACCTAGTGAGCCTTACTCTACCCAGAGAGGTATTGGCTGCTCATGTCAGTGAACACTGGGTCTGGAGGTCAGCACTGATGGTATGCTTGGTACCAAGAGGCACTGGTCCCCTTTTACTCTAAGTGATCCACACCTGTCTGAACACAGCACTTATATAGCCTACTGCATTTAGAAGTTCTGCTCCATTAGCCTCCATTATCCCCAACAATTGACATCATATTCCCATTACAACAGATGCCTGGCACCTGAGAATCTGGCTGGAGGCTGTTTACTACTCTATGCAACCTACATTTCTCCCTCAGTGAGGATTCTCTCACCTGCTCCTTCATTACCTGGTGATTGTCAGAATCAAGAGGAACAAGCTTGCTTTGTTCTATGAAGAAGCACCCTTATCTCCTTGATTTATTGTCAGTAACCTGTATGTGTTCACCTTGTTCTGAATGGATCAATGAAATCACTGTGATGATGCCTGAGACCCAGCTGGCTGCTGAAGCTCTCCTGAGTTCAGGTTAGGCAGCTCAAGATGCCTATACTTCTCTTCCCACTACTTTGGGTGTGGAGGCCACCACAAACATTGTACTTTGTAGGCTGTCGTCTACCCAGAGAGCTGGCAGTTTCCAGTAATCCAAGAGAATGCCCCCTTTGTGATTCAGTCACTGCATATAGAATGATTGAATATGGAATATCTGCCTCATCTCCCACCACCAACCTCTGAGGCTATCAACCCTCCCACCAGCAAAGTCCAATGCTTGAATTCTGAATTTATGTATTCTTAAGTCCTAGAAAATGTCTGCTCAACTGTCCTTTAATTTAAATCCATCTCTCAGTTATGATCCTCTCACCTGCTCTGTTCATCTGGATGACTGTGAAGAACCAGGAAGAAATAGTTTTGTCCCATTTCCTCCTCTTCTTTAGGAAGTAGCTTCATCTTTTCTAGCCTGCAGAGAGTGAAATGTTAGACACGTAGCCTATAAAAGGGTTTGCTTCTCCCAGAAGCTAAAAAAAAACAAGAAAGGAGAAAAAAATGGAACCTCCAATACCAACTACATTATTCTTTTCTATATGAATGCCTTGTGTCCAGAAATACAGAAAAAACTCTGACAAGATACCTGGAATGCTATAAATGGAAGTGGAAATACATGAGAACTGAAAGGGACAAAAATTTAATTTCCTCCTTCATCCCTTGAGAGGAAATAAAACTTTTAACTCACGTCTGTTGAATTCCATAAGAGAAATCAACTTAGAACCTTGGGCTTTCCCTTATCCTCTCCTCAGCTTCGGATTCCTCAGCCCTTCTTCTGAATTGTATTTGATGGAACTCTCATTTTTCTTGCTTTACATTCTGAAATACAGGCCTCTTGTGTTCTACCTTTCCCTGAATCCAAGTCTGAGAGAAGCTGTAAGAATATGTGAGGAGATACCTGACCCTGAACCAGTTCTCTTTCAGTCGGGACTGGAACCTCCTTCTTGCTCCTACCCAAAATTAGCAATACTCATGTGACATTTCACTTATCATCCTCGGACAAAGCTTGGCATACATGTAGAAAAGACTCATTTCCTTTCTTCCCAAAAGCAAAATAGTACCTCTTACAACACAGAGAAGAAATACACCTGCTCTCTGGGACTCTTAGACAACTATGAAAGTTGTGAGGGCAGACATCTGGAAAACAATCCTCTCTGATACATTTCTTCCATTATTTACATATTCTACTTGCTTTAGGTCGTTTATTTAACTCACATGAACAGGACAGGCTGCTTACCAAGTAGGAAATAAGCTGAGTGCTCTAATGGAAGCAGTTGACATGTAGTGAGAGGGTATTAAATATTTCATTATACTTCACTGCCTTACTTCACAGATTATGAGAAAAAAAAATCAGAAATAAGATGAGAGCAGCATGATTTTATATTTCTGAAATGCTTACTTACACAACAGCAATATACTTGGAACATTTATGTAGATGTCCTCATACCCCCACTACACACACATGACTCTCAATCTTTTACATATTCATTGGCACGGATGTGTCATGAGACTCAGCGAGGAAAAATGAAGATATTTTTGGAATCTAAAAATCAAGAAAGAAATATAGAGTGTTATGATAAATCAAATAATGAAAAATTACTTATAATATTTCCTATTTATTCTTTACTTTTGCTATTAGGTAATTCTTTCTATTATCTGTATTTTACCACCATTCTTAAAAATGTCTTTCCTTAAATCAAATGGTTCTGAGACATTGCTAATTCTGACACATAAGAGGTCAGTCCAGGCAGAACTGGCAATGAATACTTCCAAATATGTGATGGGAAGGCAGACACCTCAGAAGTGTCCCCTTTTTAACCCAGTGATTGCCGTTATGTGGGATGAGGATTTCTTTAATACAGAAGCTCATAAAAAATTAACAACAGATATATCATTTTACACTTAAACTGAATTAAAACTTTCAACCACTTGATAGGTAAGGGTGGGAAAAAACAAAGAAAGATATCACACTAAGAACCTTCACAAAATATTAGCATCAACTATTGGTAAATACTATTAAAATAAGATTCCTTTCAAGAAATAACAATTTTATAGAAGCTACCTACATATATTGTTAAAATAACTATGTGGAAAACATGATAATACTCCTGAAAAAATACATACACAAAAGAAAATTATTCAATCATTGCACAATTAAGTATATTGAGGGATAAATATATCGTACTCTGTCCTTATCAGTTTTGACCAAACTCATTCATCTTCAGCACTAAATTCATTCACCACTATTTTCAATGTCAACTGAGAATGCACCGTCTAAGTGACCCAGGACAGCAAAATAAATAAGATAAATAAGATATATATTTACATGCTCTCCAGAGGTAATGAATCACCAGATAAAACTGGATGTAATCAGAAGACAATGGAAAATATAAAATTACTAGTAAAACATACAGAACATTTCCAATTTGCTCCATTTCCAATCCAGATTCCTGCTAACGTTCCTAGGAATTCAAAAGATTATATCCTTCACACTTGGGCTCCTGCCACCCATATGGGAGAACAAGGTGGAGTTCTTGGTTTCTGGCTTTAGCCTGTCCCCAACCTGGCTATTTTAGTCATTCAGGAATTGAACCAGCAGATGGAGGATCTTTCCCCATCTCTCTCTCTCTCTCTCTCTCTCTCTCTGTGTGTGTGTGTATGTCTCTCTGTCACTCTGGCTTTCAAATAAATAAATAAATAATTCTTAAAATGTAATTCTGCACTCCAAATTTGCCAAGAGAAATAAATGAGAAAATCTGTAACAATATTTGGAACATGATAAGCAAAAAAAGAAACAAAAATAGTTTTATCATCACAAGGTTACATTTATATTTGCCAGAATTTATTGTATTACAAATTACTGACCTGAATACCAAGAAATAAGTATTTTTCAAAAATTTCTTCTCAGAATGAATACCAAATATTAAATTACTTTTTTATGTATAAAAAAAGTTTCCTGATGGTAGAAAATCCGGAGGAGACAGTGGCAGCAAATTATTTTGCAGAAGCAAAGTCCTTTAACTCAGGATGATATGGTCCAAACTGCAGAATAAATATAAATCTTTCTAGAAGAAAAATGGAAAAGTACTTAGGGGGAACACTAAGATCAAACCAATGTGACACTCTCTTTTTAAGGTATTGCATTTTAAACAGTTAATAAAGGGATCACATATTATGAGTCTTTACTATAAATCTAAATCATAAAAGTATGATTATTCAGCTAAAATGATCTAAAACAAAGTAATAACTGAGCAAATTGGGGGCATCAAGAAACATAGATATTAAATCTGTTCACCAGCAGTAGTCATAAATGCGATATAGTCAAAAGGAAAAGAAACAAAGATTTGTTAGGAATGCACTTACCAGATATTTTTTAGACACCTATGAAAAACAGAAGCATTGTATCTTTATAGTTTTTTTCCGTACATAAATACCTATGATAATAGTCTTCTTTTCAGCACATCCCAATTTTCAGCACCTCACTACTCTTGCACTTGGCAGCAATTATTTTTAAAAAAGAGGATGGACATTTAGCACAGTGATTATGATGTCTACAGCCCACATGAGAGTACCTTGATTTAATTCCTGGCTCCAGCTCCTGATTTCAAGTTTCTGTTATTGCAGACCCGGAGATGCAGCAATAATGACTCACGAGACTGAATTCTTGCCACCTATGTGAAAGACCTAAGCTGGGTTTTTGGCTCACTGCTTTGGCCTTGAACCAGCTTCAGCCTTTAAAGGCATCTGGGGAGTAAAACAGCAGATGGGAGCTCAGTATCTCTCTCTGAGTTTGAAACAAAATTTTAATAAATAGACAAAGAAAAATAAGTTTACTTGGTTGGTCTGATAATTGAGGTGGCTACTAAGTGACTAACATGGTATGCAGGGTGGGAACAATGGGGTGATTCACATTCAGAGTGATGTACATCAGGATAGCATGAGATTTCACCATATTCCTCCCAACAGCACGCAATTTAAAACTTACAAACTCATTATTTTTGGAAATTTCAATTTAGTATTTTCAATCTGCAGTTGACAACAGGGCAACCAAAATCATGGAAGGCCAAATCATAGAAGAGTATGACCTCTGTAGTTTAAGATCAAGATCAATTTTGCATTATTTTTTGCCTAAATTTTAACACTTAGATCAAGGTGCATTTTTCGGCCCATGGATTTTTAATTGCTCCATTATCATACATTGAAAAGACTATCCCTCTTTCACTGACTTGCTTTTATATCATTGTTAAAAATCAGTTGAGCCTATTTGTATAGGTCCATTTCTGGGTTATCTGTGTGTCTCTACCAATGTAACATAGTCTTCTGTAGTACAGTTGCATAGACCTAATCCTCCTTTTATTTTTTTCCAACTGTTTTAGCTACATTAGTTCTTTTCAGTTTCATAGAAATGTGAGGATGATCGCATTTTGTATGAAAAAAGTCTTTCCTCAAATTATGAGAGGAATTACGTTAAGTTTCTATTTCAATTTGAAGAAAATTTACATCTTTTTTTGTTGAGATTTCTAATCCATGAATATAATATAATTCTCCATTTATCTGAACCTTCTTTTATTTCTTTCACTGAAATTGTGATCTTAAGTACACAAGTTTTCAAAACATTTGCTATCATTATACCTAAGAGTTTCATTTTTAGCTACAAGTTCACTCTAACATCTACAGGACAGATTTCATCTCACTTGTTATGCCTACTTCCCAATCATGTGTGAATATTACAGGAAAATATAAGTAGAGAGGGGAGATCAAGACAAAACCTTCTTCAGAGGACTTAATCAAGGTTACCCTCTACCAATCAGCCTTGAGTGGGAACCAATTCACTTTTGCCTGTTGAAGAACAGGTCATAATTCCTTTGATTATTTTTTCTCCAGTATGACTAGAATGACCTAAGACATTTTTATTTCATGCTTAACCACCCCCAGGGCATGAAAGAGCCAACACAATCTGAAGTGGCTCTATGCATACCAAAGCAATGCCTGTATGGAACCAACTCATTGCTTTCCACTCATTATTACCTATTAAAACACTTACTTTAAACAACCAATCCAGCTAAGTAGTGGTCAAAGGAACTCAACAGACAGTTCTCAAAAGAAGAGATACAAATGGCCAACAAATGTAAGAAAAAAATGCTCAATATCACCGTCCATTATGTAAATCAAAATCAAAATCCACACTGAGATATCACCTCACTCCTGTCAGAATGGCTATTATCCAAAAGACAGAATAACATATGCTGGCAAGGATGTGGAGAAAGGGGAACACTTATATAGTGTTGGTGAGATTGTAAATTAGTATAGCCACTGTGGAAAACAGTATGGCTATTTCTTTAAAAACTAGAATTAGACTTGCCATTAAGATCCAGCAATACCACCACTGCCTATCTACCCAAAAGACATGACACACTGTATCAGATATCTGCACCACCATGTTTTATAGCAGCACTGTTCACAACAGCCAAAATATGGTATCAATCGAGGTGTCCATCAACAGATGAATGGATAAAGAAAGTGTGGTATATAAATAAAATAGAACATTATTCAGTTATAAAAAGAATGAAATTAAACCATTTGCATCAAAATGGACACAAATGAAAGACATCATGTTGAGTGAATTAAGCCAGACTCAGAAATTAAATTCTGTCTTTTGCACCAAAAATGGATACAAGTAGAAACCACTATGCTTAGTGAAACAAGGCAGTCTCAAAAGACAAATATCATGTTTTCTTTGTTATGTGACAGTCAATACAGACTGCAAAATAAATGTACAGGAATGAAATGGACATCTTATGATGAAATTGCCATTTTTAGCCCTTGTTTATATTCCTGTGGAGTTGTGGTCTTGCTACTATTTACTTGTTGAATATTATGCTTACTGATTAATTGAACCTGTGATTATAGAGCGAATTAAAACTATGTCTTTGTAAAAATTAACGAAAAGAAGAGAAGGAAGGAGGAAAATTGGTGGAAGGAGAAGAAGAGAGAAGTATAGTTATCTTCTTAGAACTGCATCTATGAAATACATGAATTATGTTCTGTTTCTATGAATAAAATAAAAAAGGCAAATATCACATATTCTCCCTTATATATGAGAGCTAAAATTTGCACACAAAAAAAAAAACCCCAAAAACAAAAATGCTTGTGTTTATCGATATTGCTGCAAATATAGTTTTGGCAAATTCTGCTTTATATATTTGTCAAACCAATAGTTAAGAATGACATACTGGGCCGGCGCTGCGGCTCAATAGGCTAATCCTCCACCTAGCAGTGCTGGCACACAGGGTTCTAGTCCGGTCGGGGCGCCAGATTCTGTCCCGGTTGCCCCTTTTCCAGGCCAGCTCTCTGCTGTGGCCCAGGAGTGCAGTGGAGGATGGCCCAAGTGCTTGGGCCCTGCACCCCATGGGAGACCAGGAGAAGCACCTGGCTCCTGGCTCCTGCCTTCGGATAGGCACGGTGCGCCGGCCACAGCGCGCTAGTCGCAGTGGCCATTGGAGGGTGAACCAAGGGCAAAGGAAGACCTTTCCCTCTGTCTCTCTCTCTCTCTCTCACTGTCCACTCTGCCTGTAAAAAAAAAAAAAAGACATACTACTATAGTTTTAATGATCAGTTATTATCATTAATTTTACTGTGTATAATATACATATATACTGCATATGTATATCATTATATGTGTATTATGCATATTATTATGTACTTAATTTTATTATATATAATATATATACTATATATGTATGTTATTGATTTTATTGTATATGTATATAGAGCAGTTCATATATATATATTTTCATTTGATTATTCTTATAATCCTTGCTTATATTCCTGCTGAACTATATAGTCTTTTTACTTCTCACTTGTTGAATTCTTTATTTAGAGGAGCATTAAGCCCTTGACTATAATGTAAATTAAAAATCTTATCTCAGAAATTAAAAAAGAGAATGAAAAAAGAAAGGAAAGAAAGAATACAGGCAGGCAGGCAGCCAAGGGAGGGAGAAAGGAAGGAAGAAATTGAGATGGAGGGAGGGGGGAGGAAGCAAAGTATTATAAGAATTATATCTATGAACAACTTGCATTAACATAACATTAACGTAAGAATTGACAATTGTGTTGTAATTGTCATGCATTCACTGTGATCTTAAGAATCTAAAAAAAAATTAAAAATTTAAATTTTAAGAACACATCATTCCTAACAACCCTGTTAATTAGATGTGTACCTCTTTCTGCTTCCTAGACTGGAAAAGGCTTTACAATGGGAATTATTACATCCCTTAAAATGTCTAAATTCCTGCATTTGACCAGTCTGCATTCCTGACACAAGGCCCTATTCTTAGAATTGGCATTCATTTTCCTTGCCCCAGTCATACCTCTTACTAGGCATTTGTAATTCCCAGCACTTATCCAAACACAGAATAGTTTAACTACATACTGTTAAGTTTACCTATGCAGCAAGCCTCATGGCAGTAGCCCCTCCTAAAGCAAATAAACCACATGGCAGAAACTATACACTCTACTGATATTTTAGCATTCATAAAATACCCAACCCGACTTTATTAGTCAGGCTTTTCATCACAGTAACTAAATGCCTACAAAAAGCTACTTCTGAATTAAGAAAGTTTATATTGGTTCATGGTTTTGGAGGTTAAGTCTAAGATCAGGTAGGCATTAATGGTTCAGCTGTTAGATGAGCCTGGAAAGTGGCAATGGCACAGCATATACAGATGAACAATTACATGGTGAATCAGGAAGCAGAGAGAGAGCAGCTAAGGCCCGACTCAATCATTTATAACCAATATTTCACAAATACTACCTTCCAAGGGCACTTCTCCAAGCACCTCCAAGTAGGCCCACCAACTAAACACAGATAAAGTTTCCACCCTTTTTAGTACCACTAACTTACAGCTTTGAAGTTTAAATCTCTGCATGAATTGGGGAGCCAAATCCTGCTTACATTATAGCATCAACATTCCCTTTTTCTTCACACAGAAAAACTTCCATATTCTCACATCAGTGAATTTAAGGAGAACTCACAGTTCTCAGCACAAAGAAACAATACATTTATGAGGTGATGAATACGCTAAGTATCTTAATTTGATCATTTCATAATGTACACATGTATCAAAATATTACATGGACAATTATTATGTTTAAGTTAGAAAAATGATAAAAGAGGTACTGGCATTGAGGAACAGCCATTGACTGCAATACTGACATCCCACCTCGGATTGACAGTTCCCGTCCTGGCTACTTTGCTTCTGATCCAGCTTCCTGCTAGGAAGGCAGCAGAAGATGGCCTAAATATTTGTGTCCCTGCCACCCACATGGGAGAGCAGATGGGGATCTTGGCCCCTGGCTTCAGCCTGGCTTGATAATGGCTATTGTGCTGCTTTGTGGAACCACCTCAGGTGGAAGCTCTCCCTCTCTCTCTGTGGATCTCTCTGTCTTTGCCTCTTTCTCTGTCACTCTTTCAAATAAGCAAATCTTGAAAGAAAATAAACTTTTTAATAAAAGTTTATAACTAGTACTCAAACAGTATTTTTCACTTTATGTTTCTGTGTGCGAGCAAACTGTTGAAATCTTTACTTAATGTATGCTAAGCTGATCTTCTGTATATAAAGAGAATCGAAAATGAATCTTGATGTGAATGGAAGGGGAGAGGGAGTGGGAAAGGGGAGGGTTGCGGGTGGGAGGGATGTTATGGGGGGGAAGCCATTGTAATCCATATTCTGTACTTTGGAAATTTATATTCATTAAATAAAAGTTAAAAAAAAAGTTTACAGTGGTTTGTAGCATCTAATTTTGTGCTTCAAAAATGATTGTAGTAATTTTTTCCCAGAAATCTTTTATTTAAGGTATACAAATGATGCATTTCAGAAATACAACTTTAGGAATATAGTTGTTCTGCCCACTGTAACTGCCCTCCACTCACAGTCCCACTCTTCTTTCTCCTCCCTCTCTTATTCTAATTTTTTTACTAAGATCTATTTTCAATTAACTTTTTTTTTCCACAGGCAGAGTGGACAGTGAGAGACAGAGAGAAAGGTCTTCCTTTTTCTGTTGGTTTACCCCTAATGGCTGCTGTAGCTGGTGCACTGTGTCCGGCACTCTGAGCTGATCCGAAGCCAGAAGCCAGGTGCTTCTCCTGGTATCCCATGTGGGTGCAGGGCACAAGCACTTGGGCCATCCTCCACTGCACTCCCTGGCCACAGCAAAGAGCTGGACTAGAAGAGGAGCAACCGGGACAGAATCCGGCACCCCGACCGGGACTAGAACCTGGGGTGCCGGCACCGCAGGTGGAGGATTAGCCTAGTGAGCCGTGGCACTGGCCTCAATTAACTTTGAACATGTAAGACTAACTCTACACTAAGTAAAGTGTTCAACAAATAGTCTGAGAAAAAACTGTTCCTCAACACTCAAGACAAGGGCTGTTCAAAGTCATAACATCTCAAAATGGCAATTTCACATCTATAGATTACCTTTTAGGTGCTCTATTAGTTACCATAGATCGGGGAGAACATATGGTATTTGTCCTTTAGGGACTGGCTTATTTCACTAAGTATGATGTTTTCAAATTTCACCCTTTTTATTGCAAATGACAGGATTTCAGTTATTTTTTACCGCTCTGTAGTATTCCACAGTGTATATAGTTATTTTTGCTATCCTCATGGTTAGCTATAGTTTTTGTGAGAGCTATGATTAGATCTAATTACTGCTATTTTATTAGCTATAACAATATAGTTGGAAATACTAAATTATATCACTAGTTATATTTATGGTTAATCACACTTATTATAGTTATATTTGCTGATTTCTTTACTTATTAGCTATGGCTACTAGCCAGTTGTAACTATTCATGACTACTAACTGTGGAGTTCCTGGTAGTGGCTACTATTTAGTTATTACTGATTACTAAATAGATGTGATTCTTGGTCGTGTTTGTTCATAGTTCTGTGAATATTTTTAGTTTGTTTAGACATAATTATAATTGGTTATGAGTGTATTTTTAGGCACAGTTGTACTCTTAGACATATTTTAGGAATATGAATTTGTCAACTTATTTCTACATGGTCATACTTTTACAGCAGTATGACCTAAAATGTAACCTACCCAGACATACACAGAAGTCTTCCAAAGCTTTCAGGGTCTATGCTCACAGGAGAGCACACTTTCACTATTCTACTACACTATTCATTTGACCCATTGTTACATAAAAAATTAAGGTATCATGTTTATCAACACAAAATCATATATACAATCTATTGAGGAGTCACTTGGCCTTTTTTTTTTTTTTGATCATGGTATTTTGTTTTTGTTTTTTTTTTTAAACGTTTATTTAATGAATATAAATTTCCAAAGTACAGCTTATGGACTACAATGGCTTCCCCCCCATAACGTCCCTCCCACCCGCAACTCTCCCCTTATCCACTCCCTCTCCCCTTCCATTCACATCAAGATTCATTTTCGATTCTCTTTATATACAGAAGATCAGTTTAGCATACATTAAGTAAAGATTTCAACAGTTTGCTCCCACACAGAAACATAAAGTGAAAAATACTGGTTTGAGTACTAGTTATAGCATTAAATCTCAGTGTACAGCACAACTAAGGACAAAGATCCTACATGAGGAGTAAGTGCACAGGTGACTCCTGTTGTTGACTTAACAAATTGACACTCTGGTTTATGGCATCAGTAATCACCCTAGGCTCTTGTCATGAGCTGCCAAGGCTATGGAAGCCCCCTGAGTTCACTGACTCTGATCATTTTTAGACAAGGCCATGGTCAAAGTGGAAGTTCTCTCCTCCCTTCAGAGAAAGGTACCTCCTTCTTTGATGACCCGTTCTTTCCACTGGGATCTCACTCGCGGAGATCTTTCATTTAGTTTTTTTTTTTTTTTTTTTCCCCAGAGTGTCTTGGCTTTCCATGCCTGAAATACTCTCATGGGCTTTTCAGCCGGATCCACATGCCTTAAGGGCTGATTCTGAGGCCAGAGTGCTGTTTAGGACATCTGCCATTCTATGGGTCTGCTGTGTATCTCACTTCCCATGTTGGATCATTCTCTCCCTTTTTTATTCTATCAGCTAGACACTTGGCCTTCTACACCCTGTTAGGCTCAGATTCTAAGAGGTACCTGACAAGTAAAATTATAATCTCTTGTACAATATTTATTCATGAAAGTGCTTCTCCACAAAAATCTCTTCCCATACAATCTCAAGAAGTCAGCTAGAAAACCTACAGGGAACCTGAATATCTCATATCCATTTTCTCTGAACTGACACTGTCTAAAATACTAGCACAGTGCTTCATTCTGTATTCATTTCAAGGTCCTATCATTCACAAAGTCCACGTTAAAACCTTACCTATTCTAAAACTTTTCTCAGAGTCAGAACATCAGGATTCACCTTTCATTCTCCCACAAGGCTTTGGAGGTCTTGTATGCCTCTGAATGTCTTCCAGAATATATCTGCACTAATATCAATGTTTCTGTTTCCCTCACTGGATCATGAGAATCTGGAGGAAAGAGGCACATGTCTTACTCGTTTCTCCAAGTACTAGCATATAGGAGCTTATTCTAAAATACTGGGAAATGTAATGCTTGCGAAATCAGTCACAATAAATATTATTTACACAACATTAAAGTTTGAGATGATCTACTTTGTTTTTATATGCCCAAAATACACATATGCATAAATGTATGCATAGATATACATTCATTCTAAATTATATAAAAAGCACGGTGCTTGGCTCTGTATTCTAATTATCTCTTCCTTCATTTTCTATTTTGAATGTTGGATGAATCATAATCAAGAAATTTTATCACCAGCAAAGTGTTCACTTCGTCTTCACGTACCTGTTGTTTCTTTAGTGCTTGAACTCTAGAAAAATCATCATGTCATCAGTACCCATAGTGCTCTAGTAAATAAGCAAATCAAATAAAAATAAGCATAATATATCCCAATATGTATGTTCCAATATCTACCACAAACTGAATACAAAAATTGAACATGCTCTTCTATGATTTTACTAATAAAAAATAGGATACATTTATGGCAGTATTTATAGTAGGTTTTCACATTTGACAAAATAAGTATATACCAAGTAAGCCCTAATTCTACTGTTATGATAATTAACTGAAGAAACATTTAGGAAGTAAATTTAGAAAATGAAGATTTCCACCACCACCTCCCAAAACAATGCACAGGCTATCACAGATTCTGTACCAAGGAGGATTTACTCAGAAGGCCTCAGATGTTCCAACCCAGCATATGTTCAAGAAAACCCCAAATTCAGTATTGGCTCTTGGCAGTGTCTATGAGCTTTCTTCTAAACCCTTAGAATGTTCTACCTGATGACTGTTTTGATTTACCCGAGGACTTTGGAAACACTCAACCTGCTTGACCAGATGCTTTAACAATGTGATTTATGGTGAACACATCTATCTTTTGCTCTGACGATATGAATTTTGAGTAACTGAGCTCAATCACACAGGTGCTGCCTACATAAGTGAATGAACTCCAATGAAAACCCTGGACACCAAGTTTTGGGTAATCCTTTCTTGCTGACACTTTACAGATGCTCTCACGCATACGTGTACTGGCTGTTCCTCTTCTGATCTAGCTCTCTGCTATTGGCCTGGGAAAGCAGTGGAAGATGGCCCAAATGCTTGAGCCCTTGTACCTACATGGCAAACCCCAAAGAACCTCCTGGCTCCTGGCTTCAGATCGGTCCAGCTCTGGCAGTTGTGGCCATTTGGGGAGTGAACCAGTGGAGGATAGACCACTCTGTCTCTCCATCTCTCTATCTGTAACTCTGCCTCTCAAATAAATTTTTTTAAGAAAGAATTACCCTCATGAAAAATCCACATCACTGTAACTTTTATTAACTCACTGATATGGACTTATTGTGAGGAATGATGAAACAATGAAGATACTTTCAAATTCTGAGAAGCAACAGAGAAGTAAAGGTACTTTGTTACATAATACAGAAAATCGAAAAAAGAAAAAGTTACTTACAGCATGTTCACTTCCTGATTATACTCTGCTTAAGTATCTACTAGATAGATTTTTTTAAACAATTATATTACCTGTAGTTCATCCTTACTATTAAATAATATTTATTTAAACAAATGGCCTAAAAAATTTGGTGTTTCAGATATGTGGTAAGACAATCCAGGAACCGGCAGCATAGCCCTTCCAGATTCATGATAGCATGGTACTCTTTTCAGAATAGAAGCATTCTTTTGTCACTTACTGATTATGATGTTGTTCCTCATGTTTAGAGATTGATGTTCTCCAATATTACTCCGAACTGGTGATTTCCAAGGCCCAATCACATCAAGTAGAAGCAAAGTGGCTCTAGTAGTTCCAAACTAATGTTTTATTATTTGACATCTTGAATTAATACATGCATGCATTTCTATCCTGTAGAGACCAACCTACCATATTCTCAAACAAACATGACAGATAAAGAGCATTCACAGTAGAAATGAGTTAAATGGCCATTCTATAATGCAATCAGTAATCGAGTATGATGTTTAAGACAGTTAAAACAAGTTCAAGGGAGTATGCCTTAAGATAAAGCATTAAGTAAATTCTAATAATGGGGATAAAATCAGGAGACTATATTATTTGCAACCAAGTAACCTGTGATGCAATCACTGTATATGGGTGTATGGATAGGCACATGAACATGCACACATTCATGCATCTAATCACAGATATGCATTCACAGAGGATTCTGGAGAATATACAAGCAGTAAAATAATGGACATGAGTTTCAATACTCACAAAAAAAGCACAAAACCATAGTTACTACATCCTGGACAAAGGTCTACATGCTTGTCTAGGAATATCAAATAAGAGAAGGCTTCAAAAAATTCATGGAAAATGCAATAAAAGATAATGGACATTTTCCATTATCTTTTGGAAGCCTCGTATGCTGAAGTAAATATATTTAAAATAAAACCACAGACATACCAGTTACCTTACAGTGAGAGATTGTTATACATTTCACTATAAATTGTTTACCTTATTTTACAGGTTAAATTAATTACTAGTCATTTTATCAATAATGAATACACCAATATATTCTTTTTTTATAAAAATAACTTTCTGTGAGACACTACACAAAATTTTAGCCTGTACATGTCTCAGGTTTTCCAGGAACTTCCATTTGTTAAGTAGACATTACTACTCCTAGATTAGATAGAGGAACAAGGACCAACTACATATGCTATCTAAAATAACATAAAACCTGGAAGAAACATACAGAAGAAAAAGGTCTTTTTTTAGACATTGTACAAAGATCAAGTCAAGAAAGCCATCCATAGATGGGTTAAAAATGAGAAAATCCAGGCCCACTCTTCAGAGGGAGACTACACAGGCTCAAGTGCAAAGATGGGGAACCCTAGCTGGGCCTGCTGATTTCTCATATTAACAGACTGAAATGGAAAAAAAAATCATTTCAATAAATGAAGAGATATACCTAAGTAAATGTCACACCCATATCTAAAAAAACAGTAGCAGAAAATTAAGCATAGCAAAATATATCCTCAAATCAATAAAAGGCATCAATAAAAACCTATTACTAACATAAGACTTACTTTTGAACCTTTTGAATCTTGAGATTATTAAAAAGGCAAGGGTGGTTGCCCTCACTGTTTCCATGCCACAACAATGCCAAGTTAAAGTAATTATGAATTATAATTTAAAATCTTGAATGTACAAAATTGAGAAAGTTTGTTATCTGCAGCCATTTACTCTCCCCCACCATGTTTGCAATGGCTTGAACATTTACTCTGTAAATAATCTCTACTGGCATAATTACAGATAATATTCTAGAAAAACACATGAATTTATCAATAAGTAGAATATATACCAACATGTATTTGAAAAATAAACACCAATAGATCTTATTAGTGATAATTGATGATATTCTTCTTAGTATTAATGTATAATTAACAGGGTCAGCACTGTGGCACAGTGGGTTAAAGACTTGGCCTGAAGCGCCAGCATCCCATAAGGGCACTGGTTCTAGTCCCAGCTGCTCCTCTTCCAATTCAGCTCTCTGCTATGGCCTGGGAGCGCAGTGGAGGATGGCCCAAGTCCTTGGGCCCCTGCACCCACGTGGGAGACCTGGAAGAAACTCCTGGCTCCTGGCTTTGGTTCAGTGCAGCTCCGGCCATTGTGGCCATCTGGGGATTGAACCAGTGGGTGGAAGACCTCACTTTCTCAGTCTCTACCTCTCTCTTTAACTCTGTCTTTCAAATAAATAAAAATAAATCTTAAAAAAGTATAATTAACACTGATAGCATTAGTTGTGTAAGTAGTATTGATAATAAAAAGAGCAATTTGCTATATGATTACATACCAGACATATATGTACTTCACTCAGACTTTCATGTGGATTTTGATAACTGATATCCATGGCAAATCTGTACCAAAGAAACACTTAATAATTCTAAAGCTTTGATTTCTCATGATGATTAAGGGAATGACTAGACTATACATCTTGACACACTCATAACCAACACCCAAATTAAGACAAAAGTATGATCAAAATACAGAAAACTCATTTATCTGTACAGCCTATTGCATTTCTTGGTATGTATACTTCATTTAAGTAAAATGATTAAAGGAAAAATATACACCTGCAAACTTAAAACCCTCTGAAACGCAAAACCATCAGAAATGTGAAAGCAATCAGAGTATCAAAACAATATATTCTGTACCTATTAAATCCTACTGAAGTATGACAGAATTTATATCTGCAAACCTACTTACTTAACTGACAATAAGCAAATTCATTTAGGAATTCTTAATGTGATATAGAATCTTCAGCTTCTCATACCAGCTATTATCTAGGTAAGCAATGGTTCAGGAAGGCCTCATAATCAATCTGTTCAGAAGGATGCAAAGTTCTCCAAGATAATGAAATGTGTTTTTTTTTTTTTTGGCTTTCTGCATTGTTATTTAAGGTATTTAACGGCACTAGCAGGTCATAAGATTCATGTTTAATTTGTCTTGGAAACTCTCTAAATCTTCTTATCAGAATAGTATTATACAAAAAGTGATGCATAGACAAGGCAGTGAAACAATAGTTAATACACAAAATTGATATGCACCCTGACAACACTCAAGCATTATCTTTAAATAAAATCTTATTTGTGAAGTCAGTGTGACAGAGAGAGAGAGACAGCAAGAAAGCAATTTTCACTCTAACTCCCAAATGGCTACAATGGGTCAAGCTGAAGGTGGGCCAAGCTGAAGCCAAGAGCCAGCAACTCCATCTCGGTCTCCCATATATGTGGTAGGGATTAGGCACTGGGATCATCTTCTGCTGCTTTCTCAGGCACATTAGCACTGAGCTGGCTGGGAAGTGGAGTAGCATGGTCTCCAATAGGGACTCTGATACGGGAACAGGCATCGCAAGCAGCAGCCTAACTTGCTGTACCATATTGCTGGCCCAACTATCATTATCATATAAAGTGAAATAAGATAAACAGAACAGAAAAAATGTGCATAATCAGTACACATATAATTTGGTAATAATCATTCCAAACATGGAATGGCAGCATGGTTTTTTACATAGAACAGAGAATACAGACTAATTGAATAGGTCCCTAAATCAAGGGATAAACAAGTTCTTATCACATAGTATGCTTAATACAAATTTGTGGATTGTTTTAAATTCTCATAGCCCCTTATCATATGCAATTATTAAGCATTTTGTAACGTAAGTTTGTTTACTATTTTAAATGAAGTTATATACTGAAAATATGTATGTAAGCAAAAATGTGAAAAAGATGTTTTTATTATCATCATGTTCATTTGTATATTCTTCAACTCAAATTCATAGGTGACACAGTGATATTCCCTTCAGGAATATTTACCAACACACTATGTGTTAGTCTTGAAAACTTTTTATTATTAAGGAAGACTAACACCCACTTTTCCACAACCCATAACTACTGCCTTCATATTCTCATTTGTCTAGTTTCCATGTGGCTGACAAGACCCAGTGGATCATCCAGAAACAAAGCTATTCAGCTGCCTATGAGAAACACTGACTTTAGACTGGCAGCAATGTTAATTTCTTGGAAAATTTGCATATTAAACTCAGAAAATGTGAAAAATAAGATGGAAGTCATTTTACTGCTCCAAGTTCTTTGATCCTAGAGCCAGCATTGTGATGTAGTAGGTTGGGCCTCCACCTGCAGTGCAGCATCCTGTGCGGGCACCGATTCAAGTTTCACTACTCCACTTCTGATCCAGTTCCCTGCTGATTACCTGGGAAGGCAATGGAAGATGGACCAACTGCTTGGGCCTCTACATCCACGTGGGAGACCCAGAGGCTCCTGGCTTCAGATCAGCCTAGCTCCAGTTGTGGCAATTTGGGGAGTGAACCAGTAGATGAAAGACTTCTCTCTGGCTCCCCCTCTCTCTGTAATTCTGTTTCTCAAATGGACAAAGAAATATTTTTTAAAATGTTCTTTAATTCCATCCCTAATAAAAAGGTGACCGTTAAATATGCTCTTATTTTAAACAAAGTAGCAGTAATTCATTTTCTGCTACCACCACCACCAAAACTACTACTACTACTACCACTACCACTACTACTACCGCCACCGCCACCACCACCATCATAACCACTACTGGACCGCAGACAGGTGAGAGAACGTGTCACTAAAAAGAAGTGAAGAAGGAGAAAGAATAATTCTGCCTTGTGATTGGCCACTTAACCAGGCGTGCAATGACCATGAGGCCTTCAGAATATCTTATTTGGCACTCAAAATGAACTTGAGACACTCAATATTTAACTCACTCACCAGCGCAGGCTTGTTTAATAAGGATTGATGAGGTACCATTTCTAGACAATTTTGGAAACTACAAAGCAACAAAGAAATTAAATAATTATATTATGACTATGCAACATTCCACACCTAAAATAAATTGATATGCTAATTTCCATCTCACAAACTATCTATCAGAACACGTACTTTTTTGTCCAATTGTGTTAGTGACAATCTACCAGCAGTCAGTCAAAGCTGGGAGGAAACAAAAGACAGGTTAGAAAATGAGAAACATACCCTCCACAACCAGCAATAATATCCAAGAAAAGATTAAGGAAATAAGAATTCAACAAAACAGAAAAGTTAAAAATCTCTGAAAATACACATATATTGGCAGACATCAATGCAGTCAGTAGTATATAACTGGGAATTTAATCACATTAATGTCAATGTCCTACATTGTCAATTTCTTTCAAATTCATTCATTGCCTATCTCACAATTTTTTTAGAAGTTGTTAAGTTCTCCTAGTGTTTATATCTTAATATACATTTAAAGTATTATTAAGAGTTTTCACAGAGAATAGAAAGATGGAGAATCTGCCACAGGAGATCTTAAGTGATATTCTTAACAGCTACAACATTAAACACAAATGTATGTCTTACAAAATTAGAGACTTTTATAGCAAAAAAAATTGGTAGCACACATGACATATTAAATGAAGCAGATGACTGGAAAACCCAGAATGAACTGACAGTTCATTCAAACTTGTGATATGACAGGCTAGTTGTGAGAACAGAAGTGACCTTTTGATTTACTAACTTTGATGGTGTACGATAGGATTTACTGAATAGTGCCACTCCTTATACAAAAGGAGGTTATGATGTTCCTGGAATCATATGAAAAATAAAGAGAACTGGATGACAGATAATGAGGCAAGAAGGAAAGATATAAAAAATCTTCTTTCCTGTTTTTCAGAAGTAATTAATCAGCAAAATAAGGAAAATAAGAATGTATTCAAAACAAAAATAACAATCATAAATTGTTAGTAGGAATAAATTTTTATACAGATACACAAAACTACTGTCCTTTAGTAGACATAGGATGAATTTGTTTAGATATTTTTCTTAATTTTAAGGAACTAGAAAATTAACAATAATTAAGAAAGTAGCATAGAATTAAATATATTTGAATATTGAAAATATTTCAATAGGTGCCCCAATTATGGTGAGATAGTAATATATTGAAGAATTAAGACAAATTCATTTCATAAAAAGAATTTTCACTATTATTTTTCTGTGGTATCTTGCACAATCTGTCTATCCATTATCAATGATTTTCTTCAGTAAATAAAAATTTGATAAATTTTATTAACAAACACTGTAACAATAAAGATAACCATTAATACTGACTCAATGTTAACTCATCAGTCAGCGTGCACAGCATATATTTGGCAATAATTTCATTTGATCAGGATAACACACATATTGTTTACAAAGCATTATTAATTTTATGCTATAGGTTTCCTATCAGGTATGAATGGTGCAACCTGTGTAAAACTGTCAGGTAATCTAAAATACAACATGTCACTGACCATGTATTATAATACTCATCACTTCAGATTTCAAAATACTTCAACTATCACAAATAATTATTTATGCCACAGCAATTTCTAATTTACAGCCGCTTGAAGACCTAAACAATGGACATGGTGCTATTATTAGTGAAAATTAAACCATACTATTCCATTGCCTGTTTAGGTTTTAGGGATTTGTCATCGTTCTGTGTTCTAAGTGGGTTGCTGAGTTCCAATAGTATCAACAGGCAGCAATGTTGCTTCTATAATGGAAAATCATCTTTTGATTTTTTATTGATTCTCACATGGAGGCCTAACCTAGTATCTACAATAAACTCAAAAGAGGTAATTCACAAGGAACATTGTGAGAGGATACAATAAATGACAAGCTTGTATGTACAAACTGAGAGATCATTATTTACAGTGTGGTTTTGATAAAACTGGAAGAATCTAAAGATTGCCAATTTATCCATTGATCTTCTCAATGCATTCCCTGTGACTTTAAACTTAAATCAAATATAAATAAATACATCTTTCTAGCATAGGTATCCAAGTAATGCTCTGGAAAGTAAACAAATAATAATAAGCAACCATGAATGTTTCACATTTTTATATGAGAAATAAATCACTGACATTGATTTTTTGTTTGACCATCACAGAAAGCTTTTATTACCACAGAGGAAATCAGGAAATACTGGAGAGTATGCAACTACAGCAGCCTGGACAGCGTGTGTGATCAAGGATGAGAAGCAGGGGAGTGTCCTGTCAGCCCTGCCTTGACAGTCTTCCATCTGAGAGGTGGGCTCAGGTCAGGAGAGGCGTTTGTGGGGGGTGTGTGGTGTAGGGAGCGGAGCAAGCTCAGAGAGGTCAGCCTCGACAAGCAAACTTCTTCCAAGACCAAGGACAACTAGAACCGAGGACAACAGCTGCACAGTAAACCTTAAAATCAAAATCAAATTGGGCTTATTACATCAGGAAGCGTGTTTCACCTTGATCATGAAACAAGAGCAAGGAGGGATCACTAGTTTCTACTTGTAAAGCCCTTTATTTAGCTAAGAGGTTTTGAAAACTAAATACTGTTAAATACTGGCAGGTATTACCCCTTGCTAACAGAAAGCAGCACACAATTTCCAAGGCAGTTTTTACCACTTTTTCATCTGTTATTATTTGGATTTTAGACAAAATTGATAAGAGTAAAAGCCAGTGGAAGAATCCTGTTTGATCTGGAAATTTTCTGAAAAGACCACAAAAGGTTGGCGAATTAAGTTCCCAATATCTTTTAGTTTATTTAACATCTCTTCTTTTAGTCTTTCATTATGCTCTTCAATTTGCTTAGGTAATCTCACACGAGTTTCTCTTATTTTTGAAATTTTAGTTAAGTTACACAAGCTTCATGTATTTCATATATACAGATTTAGGAATATAGTGACACTTCCTCCTACCCTCCCTCCCACCCACCCTCTAATGCCTTCTTCCTCCTCTCTCTCACATTCCCACTCTTAACTTTTACAAAAATCTATTTTCAGTTTACTTAATGATCATATAGTACCTCCTACACTAAGTAAAAGAGTTCAATAAATAATATGAAGTGAAAAAAATTAAAACACTGTTCCTTAACAGAAGAGACAAGGGCTGTAAACAATCATTGAAACTCCAAATGTCTATTTCATTCTATTAAATTTCAGGTACTCTATTAGTTACCTCAGATCAGGGAAAACATATGATACCTATCTGTTGGGGACTGGCTTATTTCACTAAGTATAAATGGTTTCTATTTGCATCCTTCTTGTTACAAAAAACAGGTTTTCTTTTTTTTTTTTTTTTACAGCTGAGTAATACTCCATAGTGTACATATATCATAATCTCTTAACAGTTGATGAACATCTGGGTTGATTCCATATCTTAGCTATTTGAATTGAACAAAAATCATATGGTTATCTCAATAGTTGAAGAGAAAAAAATTTTATAAAATACAACATCCTTTCATGATGAAACCCTTAAGCAAATTGGGTATAGAAGGAACACATCTCAACACAATCAAGGCAATTTGTAATAAACCCACAGCCAGCATCATATTGAATGCAGAAAAGCTGGAAGCATGCCCCCTAAGATCTGGAACCAGACAAGGATACCAATTTTTTTTAATTTATTTGACAGGTAGAGTTATAGACAGTGAGAGAAAGAGACAGAGAGAAAGGTCTTCCTTCCATTGGTTCACTCCCCAAACGGCCGCCACGGCCGGCGCTGTGCCGATCTGAAGCCAGGAGCCAGGCGCTTCCTCCTGGTCTCCCATGAGGGTGCAGAGGCCCAAGCACTTGGGCCATCCTCCACTGCCCTCCCAGGCCACAGCAGAGAGCTGGACTGGAAGAGGAGCAACCGGGACTAGAACCCGGTGCCCAAATGGGATGCCGGCACTGCAGGCAGAGGATTAGCAAAGTGAACCACAGCGCCGGCCCAAGGATACCAATTCTCACCATTGCTATTTAATATAGTCCTGGAAAATTTAGCCAGAGCCATCAGGCAAGAAAAAGAAATCAAAGGGATACAAACTGGAAAGGAGGGAATAAAACTAATCCTATTTGCAGATAATGTGATTCTATATATACATAATCCAAAATACTTGACTGAGAAACCATTGAAACTAAAAAAAAAAAAAATGGTAAAGTGACAGGATATAAAATCAACATGGAAAAATTAACAGCCATTGTATACATAGAAAATGTCATGGCTGAAAAAAGAACTTCTAAGATCAGTCCCATTCAGAATAGTACCAAAAGAATTACATTGGAAAAATTTAACCAAGGATGTCAAAGATCTCTATAATAAAAATTACAAAACACTGAAGAAAGAAAAAGAAGACAGCTCATGAAAGAGCCTCAGGTGATTACTGATGCCATAAACAAGAGTGTCAAATGTTAAGTCAACAACAGGAGTCACTGTGCACTTACTCCCCATGTAGGATCTCTGTCCTTAATGTGTTGAACTATGTGAATTAACAACATAACTAGTACTCAAACAGTACTTTATACTTTGTGTTTCTGTGTGGGTGCAAACTGTTGAAATCTTTACTTACTATATACTAAATTGATCATCTGTATATAAAGATAATTGAAAATGAATCTTGATGTGAATGGGATGGGAGAGGGAGTGGGAGATGGGATGGTTGCATGTGGGAGGGAGGTTATGGGGGGAAAATGCCACTATAATCCCAAAGTTGTACTTTGGAAATTTATATTTATTAAATAAAAGTTAAAAAATGGAAAAATCGGCCGGCGCCGCGGCTCATTAGGCTAATCCTCCGCCTTGCGGCGCCGGCACACCGGGTTCTAGTCCCGGTCGGGGCGCCGGATTCTTTCCCATTTGCCCCTCTTCCAGGCCAGCTCTCTGCTGTGGCCAGGGAGTGCAGTGGAGGATGGCCCAAGTACTTGGGCCCTGCACCCCATGGGAGACCAGGAGAAGTACCTGGCTCCTGCCATCAGATCAGCGTGGTGCACCGGCCGCAGTGCGCTGGCCGTGGCAGCCATTGGAGGGTGAACCAATGGCAAAGAAGACCTTTCTCTCTGTCTCTCTCTCACACTGTCCACTCTGCCTGTCAAAAAAAAAAAAAATGGAAAAATCTTCCATGTTCATGGATTCGAAGAATCAATATCATCAAAATGTCCATACTACCAAAAGCAATTCACAGATTCAATGATGCCCCAAACAAAATACCAATGACATTCTTTGTAGATCTAGGGAAAAATGATGCTGAAATTCATATGGAAACACAGAATACCACGAATAGCTAAAGCAATCTTATATAAGAAATCCAAAGCCAGAGGCATCACAATAACAAATTTCAAGATATCCTGCAGAGCACTTATAATCAAAACATCCTGCTACTGATACAAAAACAGATGCATAGAGAAATGGAACAGAATAGAAACTCTAGGAATCAATCCAGGCATCTACGACCAGCTTATCTTTGATAAAGGAGCAAAAATCAATCCCTGGAGCAAGGACAGTCTCTTCAACAAATGGTGCTGAGGAAACTGCATCTCCACATGCAGAAGTATTAAACTAGACCCCTACCTTACACCTCACACAAAAAATCACTCAAAATGGAATAAAAGACCTAAACTTACGACCTGATACCTTCAAAATGCTACAGAATATTGAGGAAACTCTGCAAGACATTGGCATAGGCAAAGACTTCTTGGAAAAGAACCCAGAAGCATAGTCATTCAAAGCCAGAATGGACAAATGGGTTGACATCAAGCTGAGAAGCACCTTCACTGTAAAAGAAACACCCAGCAAAGTGAAGAGGCAATCAACAGAACAGGAGAAAATATTTGCGAACTACTCAACTGATTAAGGGTTAACATCCAGAATCTATAAAGATCTCAAGAAATTCAACAACAACAACAACAACAAAAAAAAATAATCCAGTAAAGAAATGGGCAAAGGACTTGAACAGGAATTTCTCAAGAAGGAATTCAAATGGCCAACAGACACTTGAAAAAATGTTCAGGATTACTATAGGGAAATTTGAATCAATACTACAGTGAGGTTTCACATGATACCAGTTAGAATGGCTCTCATACAGAAATTAACAAATGCTGGCAAGGATGTGGGGAAAGGGGTACCCTAACCCGTGGTTTGTGGGAATGTAAACTGCTGTAGCTACTGTGATAGACAGTATGGAGATACCTCAAAAAGTTGAATATAGACCTACTATATGATCCAGCCATCCCACTCTTGGAAATTTACCAAAACCAAAAGAAATCAGTTGTTGTTTTTAAGTTTCATAGTAGAACACATTAAGGACAGTACCCAGCAACTCCCGCTGTTGATTTAACAATTGGCACTCTTATTTATGATGTCAGCAATCACCCGAGACTCTTGCTATGAGCTGTCTAGGCTCACCGACTCTGAACTTGTTTAGTCAAGGCCGTATCACAGTGGAGGTTCCTTCCTCCCTTTAGAGAAAGGCGCCTCTCTCCTTGATGGCCTGTTCCTTATTGAAAGCATTCTAGAGAGCTAATAAAGTGAGTAGGTGTCAATATGTACAGAAAAACTAAATAAACCACCACTCTCTAGAATTAAATCGAACACTGGTCTGTCTATATTTCCTGACAAATGAAAAATACATCTAAATGTTAAGTACTAGATATGTAGGGCTAGTTGAAAATAAAGTGTGGAGTAGCATGTTTGGAAGAAAAATGAAATTTTACATTAAAACCACCTATTCATTGCACTAGATTAACTGAACTTAAAAATTTTATACATCCTTATAAATTATCAATAGCTGAATGTATTTTTACAAAATGTCTTCCTTTGTTGTACGAAGTTAAAAAGTAAGCAACAGTGTTCTTTATGTTGCTAACAAATATCATAGTAATAACAGCCAAAAGTACTAAGTAAAATTTTCTGAATGATTACTTTCCTATATGCATTTTCTCATCTAAAAACCATATCCAGGGGCTGGCATTCTGGTGCAGCGGGTAAAGCCACTGTCTTCAACACTGGCATCCCATTTGGGCAACAGTTCCTGTCCTGACTGCTCCACTTCCAATCCAGCTCCTGGGTAATGAATCTGGAAAAGCAGCAGAAGATGGCCCAAGTTCTTGGGTCCTCACACCCACATAGGAGACCCAGATGAAGCTCCTGGCTCCTGGTTTCATCTGGCCCAGCCCTGGCCGATGCAGCTATCAGCCATCTGGAAGTGATAGAAAATCGATTCTCTCTCTCTCTCTCTCTCTCTCCCCTCCTCACACTCTGTACATTTCAAATAAATAAATCTTTGTGTTTTTTTAAGCTGTATTTATTTTTTTGAAAAGGCAGAGTTAGAGAGGCAGAGGCAGAGGCAGAGAGAGAGAGAGAGAGAGAGATCTTCCATCTGCTGTTTTACTCCCCAAATGGCTGCAACAGCTGGAGCAGCTGGGCTGATCTGAAGCCAGGAGCCTGGAGCTTCTTCCAGGTCTCCCACATGGTTTCAGGGTCCAAGCACTTGGGCCATCTTCTACTGCTTTCCCAGGCCACAGCAGAGAGCTGGAGCTGGATTGGAGGTGGAGCAGCCGAGACTGAAAGCAGCGCCTATAAGGGATGCCGGCACTGCAGGCAGTGATTTTACCCGCTACTCCACAGTGTCAGACCCAATAAATAAATCTTCAAAAAATAAACAAACAAAATAAATAAATAAATAAATAAGGAGTAAAATAAATAAAAATCACAATAAGCAAATCATTAACAAAATTCTTAATACATCATAATAATTACTAATACATCATGCATATTAAAAGACACGGTATGTGAAAATACATTTGAAACTGCAAATCAACAGAAACTGAAAAGCAATTTCATTAGCACAACAAAATCTACTAAATATTATAACATGTTAAGTTCCTTAAAATGCATTAGGGGCCGGCATTGTAGTGTAGTGGGTTAAGCTCCTACCTGCAATGCCAGCATCCCAGAAGCACACAGGCTGCTTGGCTGCTCTACTTCAAGCCAGCTCCTTGCTAATGCTCCTGGGAGAGCAGTAGACGATAACTCAAGTTTTAGAAAAAGAAAAAAAAGTATTAGTAGCATACCAAAATAACATCAATAATCATCAGAGAAAGACTGATAAAATAGGAATGCACAGAAACATTTTAAAAGTTTAGAATTCCTAATAATAATTAGCATATGTTTTTCTGTCACCAGCAAATAGCTTCAAATTCTAGAAAATTACATACACAAATAAAATAATTATGTAACTGATAGTTTAACCATAACCTGGTAAACAAAATCTATATTACAGCATTATTGATTTTTGTCAAATTTATCCATTACTTATCTACAATTAACACTGTCAATACTATTTTAATGGAAATTTGAGAATAGATTTATAATGTTTAAACTCAGTATTAATGGAAATTATCAATTTAAGAGAACAGCAGGGAATGCAAACGTAAGGAATGTAAAGTGCCTGGTTCAAGTCTAGGTCCTGCATTCCATTCAGCTTTCTATTAAGGTGCACCCTGGAAGGCAGCAGATGATGGCTCAAGAACTTGGGTCTCTGTCAGCCATGTAGGATACCTGGATGGAGTTCTGGGTCCCTGAAATTAGCCTGGCCCCGCCCTTGCTGGTGTGAACATTTTGGGGGAGTGAAGCAGCAGATGGAAGTTCTTTCTCTATCTCTCTGTCTCTCTGCATTTCAAATAAAAATAAAAATAAATAAAATTAAAATTTTAAAAGAAATACAGGGAATCTGCTACATCAGATTCAAAATGCCATGAACAAAACTCACAGGAGTTAACACAGAGAAATATTGGTTAACAAAATCCAGAACAATTTCCTACAACAAATCTGGAATCTGAAATGCCTATGAAAACTATGTTTTCTGAGTGAAAAGTCAATTAAAAACTCTCAATAATATGTACTCCGATAATACGTACTCAATAATACGTACTCCAAAGTCTTCACCATATATTACAATGAATAAACATCACAATCTGTGTTTGATAACCTCCTAGGAGATCACATCAGGGATGAACTTCAGTTATATTAAGAACTCCTTCCTGATTGTTAGTTATAACACTTTGCTCACAGTCAAGGCAGAATATCTGGCGTACTACTGAGGCTGAAGCGAAGAATCAGGTTCAAATATCAGCAAAATTGCTGCAGGGCTGTAAACGGATTTCTTTTTTATTTTCTTGTTTTAAAGATTTTTTTTTTTTTTTTGAAAGGCAGAGTTGGGGGGGGGGGAGGAATCTTCTATCTACTGGTTCATTCCCCTTAAAAGGCTGCAATAGCCAGAATGGCCAGAGCTGGGTCAGACTGAAGTCAGGAGGCAGGAGCTTCTTTCAGGTCTTCCATGTAGGTACACAGGGGCCCAAGCACTTGGACCATCTTCACTGCTTTTCCCAGGGCATTAGCAGGGAGCTTGATTGGATGTAGAGCAGCCAGAACTCAAACCAGTGCCCATATGGGTTACCAGCATCACAGGTGGCAGCTTTACCAGCCACATCACAATGCTGGCCCCATGTAAATGGATATATTGTAGACAATGAGACTACTAAGCAGTAAGCCATTTACTTTGTATATCCCTGGATAACTGTAGGATTATATTACAAGATGATAATTAGCTCATGATAGAACTACTGACTGTGAATATTAAGACTTAGGAGTCATGCTACTAAAAAAAAAAAAGAACAGAAAAAAGAGTAGGTGGAGCATGAGTAAGAGAGGAAGAGGAAACAAATAAGAACAGAAGAGATGAGAAAAGAAAATAAGAAAAATGATAGAAACAGAAACAAGAAAGAGAAAAAGAAGAAAAAGTTACATTTTTTACTTATTACTTGCAGTCAATGGACTTGGGGCCTTTATAACAAAACTATGTAACTGAATCTTTTATTAACTCACTGACACAGATTAGCCAAGAGAATTAATGAGAAATCACATGAAGATACTTCTGGAACCTAAAAATCAATGAGAAGCAAAACTATTATATTACCATATATAATATGAAATATTCAGAAAGGAAAGTTCCGGCCATAGTGGCCATTTGGGGGGTAAACCAACAGAAGGAAGACCTTTCTCTCTGTCTCTCTCTCTCTCACTGTCTAACTCTACCTGTCAAAAAAAAAAAAAAAAAGAAGAAGAAGAAGAAGTAAGTGCTTTCAGAAATTTTTAATGGGAGCAAAAATTGTTGTTTAATATCTAAATTCCTCTAGAGGTTCAGTGCTTCAGGAAGAAGCAATGCAAGGCTACAAAAGGAGAGAAAGCTCTTCTGAGTCATAAATTTAGAACTCAGTTGTCAGCAAAATACAAACTATACAAGAGAAGATTTGAAAATTGTTAATCATGTAAAGGACTGAAAAGATGTTCGGTTACATTGTTTAATTGAGAATTATTTCAAACACTGGAGGTGCAGTCATAAAAGTAGAATGGTGTGAAAGGTGAGTAGTATTGAGAAGTAAGGTGATAGAGAAAAAGGAAATATTAAAAAATCAGTATATTTCCTATCCTCAAACAACAATCATTCATAAAAGAGCAGAAATTATATATTAAGCATATATAATACATAAAGCAAGGCATGAGTACATATTCTTTCCAGACACCTACAATGAAAAGAGTGAATCTTTCCAAAAGGAACTAAAAGCTAGATTGTATAACTGATCAGAAATTTATACAAAGGAATAAACTAGGGGCTAGCACCGTGCTGCAGCAGGTTAATCCTCCGGTTGCAGCAACGGCATCCCATAGGAACGTTGGTTCTAGTCCCAGCTGCTCCTCTTCCAATCCAGCTCTCTGCTATGGCCTGGGAAAGCCGTAAAAAGACAGTTCAAGTCCTTGGGTCCCTGCACCCGTCTGGGAGACCAGAGGAAGCTCCTGGCTCCTGACTTTGAATTCGGTGCAGCTCTGGCCATTGCGGCCATTTGGGGAGTGAACCAACGGACAGAAGACCTTTCTCTCTGTCTCTCCCTCTCACTATCTGTAACTCTACCTCTCAAATAAATGAATAAAATCTTTAAAAATAAAAAAAATAAAGGAATGCGCTAGATCTATCTTGAGAACCCCTGTCTAATTGCTAAAATTAACTTTCTTTATCCTTTTGGTAATCTTTAGGGTCTAAAGGTCTCCAGGAAAACTAAGGTCATTATGACTATAATGGTTTAATGACAATAATGTTATCATGATAGTAACATGTCCCACTGCCACAAACAATTTCTTTTTGACGATATTAAAGTAAGGGCCACATACACCCAATCTTCACTAAAGTTCCCAAGAAATAGCTCAGAAAAGTTGATTAATAAGAAGGAAGTCATTTGTTCTTGAATGCTTCAGGATATCCAAGGATAATAACACTAAGAGGCAATTAACTTGCTCCCACTTTTGAAAGCAAAAGGAGTCATAAACCTACCCAAAGTGACAGCATTAGGACTTATTAACTGTCAAACTACTAAAAGAAAGAAGAAAAAGGATGGTGGGAGGATAAAGAGAAGAGGAGGAACTGGAGGTCTAGCAATAAAAAAAATTTGTTCAATGTTTTCATACCTGAAAGATAAGGTAGTTGAGGCTTTCATGTAGATTTCCACATCTGACACGGAGAACAAATTTGTACTAAAAAGAATACTTAATAATTCCTCAGCTGAGATAAGACTTAAGTGAAAAACATTCTGAAAATACATTTGGACAATAAACATCCATAAAAATTCAAAAGCTATCACAATATCTAAAATTTTTATACTTATCAAATGCAATTTAATAGAAAAAGATCAACTAGTATCTATTATCTGTCTTTTCTATGAAGCAATAAAGTCTCATAGAAATTTTTAATGTAGATTAAATGTTTATGCTATATTATTCTCAAATTCTCTAGATTTTACTGCTTCATAGAGAAAACTCCACAAGGTTGCATGTGAAGGAAATAAAAACCTTTTGACTCAGGATTTAATAGCTCAGTTCTCTAAATAATATGAACCCTAAGAAGAGGAGAGTTAAAAGTTGCTAATGACTTAAAGCATTTACTAGATGTCTTAGGTTGTGCAATGTTTTATTAAAAATAATTTCAGAACTCAATAGGTATAATCATAAAATGCTAGCTTTTCAAACTCATGAATAACATCAAAAGGTAAAGTGGTAGAACAAAAAGGAAATATTCTAACACTATGTTTATAATACAAATAAATTGTCACAAAATATAAAGAAAATAAAAGTGAAATACAAAAAATGAAATTACTATTCATAAACATAGCAAATTATTTCCATGTATCTATGAGTTAAACAGCAAATCTGTCCACAGGAACTCACAGCTGGATAGCACAACCTCTTAGGAACCTGTATATGGTGATGAGCTAGATATACTTTGAAAGCCTCTTCTTAATTGTTGGGATTGGCCCCAACTGGCCAATTGCCCATATGTGCAAACTAAACTTCTTCATCTTAAAGACTAGTGAGATGGTGACTATGGTAGTTCACATAGCAGCAGGACTATTCCTTGTGCAAATCAATTTTTGCAGACAACTTGGATTTCTGTCTCAGGACATAATGTCAGAAAAGTCCACTATTAAGAAGGAAAATATTTAGCATTACATGCATCAGTACACACTACTTGTTAGAATGTGATCTCCCAGTCTTAATTAAAAGTGAGTCATTGGGAGCGGGCACTGTGGCGCAGTAGGTTAATCCTCTGCCTTCGGTGCTAGCATCCTGTATGGGCACTGGTTCTAGTCCTGGCTGCTGCACTTCAGATCCAGCTCTCTGCTATGGCCTGGGAAAAGCAGTAGAAGATGGCCCAAGTCCTTGGGCCCTTGCACCGGCATGGGAGACCCAGAAGAAGCTCATGGCTCCTGGCTTCGGATTGGCGCAGCTCTGGCCAAATTTGGGGAGTGAACCAGCAGATGGAAGAAAGACCTCTCTCCCTTTCTCCCCCTCTGTCTGTAACTCTACCTTTCAAATAAATAATAAATAAGATGTTTAAAAAAATAAAAAGTGAGTCATAAAACTACTCATAGTCATGGTAGCATTAATTAGTGATAACACTACTAAAAAGAATAAAAGAAATTGAAAAGAAGATAAAGGAAGAAGATGAGGAGGACAACAGTTAGAAGAAGCTGTTAAAAACCAGGGAAGAAGATAATAAAGGTAACAGAAATTGAACAGGATTTCCTTACTTTCTTACTTACCAGCAGGCTATGTCTTTGGGGCTTTTCATGAAAGTTTTATCATTTGACTCTCGTGACATACCTAGGTCAATAAATCTTTTACTAACTCACTGACACAGATTTGGCA